GAGTGCATGGCAAAGCCGCAGAAGACAAAGCATGCTGTGACTTTTCTTTACCCCAGAGGGCTGGGGAAGATTTGCAAGTGGCTGGAACTAGAATGTCCAATTCTCATTTTGATTGTGTGTTTGCAAAAAGGAGAAATATTGAAAAGCACACAATACTTTTTTATTTAAAATTTCAAAGGAACAAAAAAAAAAAAACTAACCATTTTAATTTCAGCTTTCGTCTTTCTGCAGTGATTTTGCTTTTACTCCTAGTTCTTTGGCTTTTTTGAACATTGCAGTCCTTATTTTTTTTGTCTTGCCCCATCTTGAAAGTGATGCTGACACAGTTTTGATATAGTAGGAGTATTTTGTTATGCATGAATCTTTTACATGACTGTTTAGGTCTTAAAACACCAAACACAAATCATCTAAAAAATTAACTCAAAAAGCCCCAAAAACCCATTTTATTCCACAGATATTACAAAAGGCTGATGCATGACTGCCACCCTGTGGCTGGAAGTATTTATTGAAGTGAAGACCTTGAGTCTGAAATTGTTAAAAGAGGGAAAAGTAATTTCCTCTTAAAGATGACAAACATCTTTAGGTTGAAGCAAACATCTCTAAAATGAAGGTGATTGTCAGCTACATGTCAAGATTGTAGCATCAAATATTTGTCGCATCTTAAAATGCGGATCATTTTCCTTAATTTCTGTTATTTTACCTAATAAAGTTTATGAATGAACATCCATCCATTCAGTCTCTTCCACTTACTCGGAGTTGAGTTGCAGGGGTAGCAGCCTGAGCAGAGAGGCCCAGACATCCCTCTCCCCAGCCTCTTGGGCCAGCTCCTCCGGGGGAATCCCAAGGCATTCCCTGGCCAGCTGAGAAAAATAATCCCTCCAGTGTGTCCTGGGTCTTCCTTTGGGTCTCCTCCAGGTTGGACATGCCCCGAAAACCTCACCAGGGAGGCGTCCAGGAGGTATCCTGACCAAATGCCTGAGCTCAACTGGCTCCTATTGACATGGAGGAGCAGCGGAACTACTCTGAGCCCCTCCCGAATGACCAAGCTTCTCACCCTATCTCTAAGGGAGAGCCCAGCCACCCTACAGAGGAATCTCATTTTGGCCGCTTGTATCTGTGAACTCGTTCTTTCAGTCGCTACCCAAAGCTCGTGACCATAGGTGAGGGTAGGAACGTAGATCGACTGGTAAATTGAGAGCTTTGCCTTCCAGCTCAGCTCTCTCTTCACCACGACAGACCGGTGCAGCGCCTGCATCACTGCAGACACAGCTCCAATCCGCCTATCGATCTCACGCTCCATCTTGCCCTCACTCGTGAACAAGACCCCAACATACTGAAACTGCTCTGCTTGAGGCAGGACCTCGTCCCTGACCTGGAGAAGGCATTCTACCCTTTTCTGACTCAAGACCACGGTCTCGGATTTAGAGGAGCTGATTCTCATTCCAGCCACTTCACACTCTGCAGCAAACCGCTCCAGCAAAGGCTAGAGGTCACATTCTGATGAAGCCAACAGGACCAATTAATCTGCAAAAAGCAGAGATCCGATCCTCTGGCAAACAAAATGGATCCCCTCAACACCTTGGCTGCACCCAGAAATCCTGTCCATAAAAGTTATGAACAGAATTGGTGATGAAAGCCAGCCTCGGCAGAGACCAACTCTCACCGGAAAAACTCAACTCTCGACTTAATGCCGGCAATGTTGACCAAGGTCTGGTACCAGTCATATCAAAGAGCCTGGTACCCCATTCTCCATAACTACCCACCACAGGACACCCCGAGAAACGAAGTTAATCGCCTTCCTCATCCATAAAACACATGTAGATTGGTTGGGCAAACTCCCACGCACCTTCCAGGACCCCCTAAGTGGGAAGAGCTATTCTAATGTTCCACAGCCAGGACGAAAACCACATTGTTCCTCCTGAAATCAAGGTTCAACAATCCGATGGACCCTCATCTCCAGAACCTTTGAATAGACCTTACCAGGGAGGCTCAGGAGTGTGATCCCCCCTGTAGTTGGAACACACATTGCTGTCCCCCTTTTGGTGGGACCACCACTCCGGTCTGCCAATCCAGTGGAACTTCCCCCGATGTCCACGTAATATTGCCAGCACAGCCCTACGACATCCAGAGCACCAAGGAACTCTGGGCAGATCCCATCCATCCCGGGAGCCTTGCCACCATGGAGCTTTTAGACCACCTCAGTGATCTCAGCCCCAGAGACTGGAGAGCAAAATTCAAAGTCCCCAGACTCTCTACTGTCATGTTCTGTGTCCCCTTGGTCCCCAACCCCCTCCTGTTCTTCCTCTACAAGTTCTCCTCATGTGCCTCCTTGTGTTCTCCAGCTCCCTCAAGGCTTCCCTCATGTTTCCTCCTAGTCACTCCTGTGTAGTTCCTATTGGCTTGTATCAGTCCTCCTCACTCCTCTAGTCATTAGTTGTTTATCTTTGCTCTTTAGGTTTAGTCATTTAGTGTTTTATAGGTTGCGGTTTATCTTCCCCTCTGTTTGTTCTTTCCCCATTTAGTTTATTGATGACACCTGTCTTCCCTCTAGACCTCACTCCTCATACCTGTCACCTGTTCCCCTGATTGCTTCCCTCTGTGTTTAAAACCCCTGTCTTGTCCCTCAGTGTTTGTTGGTCCATTGTCTGTGGCCCTGTCCACACGTAGCCGGGGATCTGCCAAAACGTAGATATTTTTCTACGTTTTGGCCTGTCATCCACACAAAAACGGAGTTTTTTCACACGAAAATGGATCTTTTTAAAAACTCCAGCCAAAGTGAAGATCTGCGTTTTCTCCATTTTGGGTGTCTGCATGTGGACAGACAAAACTGGAGTTTTAAGGTCCGCAACATCACTTTCCGCGACAAAAAAATGCTGACATCACGTGTGCGACCTGTGTTTACACTAGCCGACAGCATGGATGCCCTCAGAGCTGCGCTCGCTTTATCAATTGTCCAAGCGCTTTTTGCTTGTTTGTTCTTGCAAGCGGAATTACTGCTCCTTGCGGAAGACCACAGGCGAAGGAAGAGGTTAAGAACGGGGGAAGTACTGCCGCCTACAGGTCTGGCATGTCCTTAACAACGTATTTCTCCGGGTACGTGTGGACAGTTTTTTTTTTAAACGAGGTGGTGTGGATGCAAGTTTTTGGAGGGGCGGATATTCATTAAAAAAACCCCGGCTACGTGTGGACTAGGCCTGTGTCAGCGTTGTTTTGTTCCCCCACCTGGTCTCTAGTTATCTGCTCAGAAAGTTAGTTTTTGGTTTTGTTGGGTTTAGATATTTGGCTTGGCTTCCTGCCTTTTTGGATTTTACTTTTGTTCCCCATCCTAATAAAAGGAATTTTTATTTTTACATCCACTTGAGCCTCGTGCCGTTCTGGGTGTTCTGCATCTTGGGTCCTAACTTCCTGCTCTCAGCGTGACATCTACTTCCTTACAGGAAGGCTTTCTGGTGGGATTGGGGATGTCTTTGAAGCACTCTGCCCATGACCCACAGTCTCCTGAGATTCAGTCAGCAGCACGAATCACATCGTTTCCAATATAAACAGTGTTGGTAGCACGCTGCTTTCTCCTTACAAGATGCCGGACGGTGGACCAGAATCTCCTCAAAGCCGTACGGAAGTCATAAATATTTATACACTTAAGAAAATAGGAACATAACAGACAGGCTTGCAATAAACTTTAATCATGTCCAAGGCATCCCGTGCAAAACTATGTAAGGAAAGGATTTAATGCACAAACATTTAGTGGAATAATTTTTAATTATGACCAATAAGATGTGATGATTCCATACAAATATGAAATATCAATCTGATTGATCTTTGAATGTTAAATCAGAAGATTCTCGGGTTCTTTGCTTGTTCAGGGACCATAAACACACTTCATATTAATTCAGACAGAGTTGGTATATAGTTTATAAAACGAATTTAATTATTTTTCCTACACTAATGATACATGACAAGATATGAATAATGGAAAATGGTGCGGTGGATGTGAGGTGTTGTGATGGAAGCTAGATGTTGTAGCAACCGTTTTTTGTATCTGAGAGAAATTGTGAAATCTGGGTGTGAAAGAATTTGTTGTTTGTTATAAACTAGTTAGTTATTGATAAAAACCTCATCAGACACCAGTATGCAGGCTTACGATACTCTTGTATGGGTTGCTCCCAGCGGTCCGGAGGGGTGCGATCAGTGTGGTGGGGTCACCGGACGTCAAAACCACGATACTCAGAGATTAGTAGCTTCCTCTGAGTTCAGCTTCCCCGGCCATGAGATGCAACCCGGGGTCTGCAGATTAGGTGTCCAAGGTGGATGTCTGAGAGTTGAAGTAGCTCTGAAAAGAGCTGTTGTGTCTGTAATCACTTGCAGCGTCGCAGAAAGGTTTTGACTTAAGGTCAAAGGAGATTGTTTCAAAAGAGAGGCTCCTTTCCCAATTTGGCCGAATCGTGGGTTAGCTGGAAACCGAATTAATCGGGAAGTAAATCCTGTTTTAATAAACTCATTATTCATAATTTCTGGCATATTCTGGCGAATCAGAATGTGCCATGTCTGGAAGGCTTTACCAAAACATTCCTCAGAAAGCCACGCCTTCTTGCAGATACAAAAATGGTTTTAACACTGTGAATGTCTTAAAACTCTTACCTAAGGTGCATATCAACCCTAAAATGTATCCCAGTGTAATGCGTCTGAGCGTAAACAATGATTAACTTGTTCAATCAAACACATAGTGATTTGTGATGTAAATGGATCGTTGTAAGAACAATATTCATTTCAAATTCATTGATTTAACCCTCCCACTGTCTTCATGGGTGACCCCGCAAAGAAAGTTGACCATTGAGCAGGATGGATGGTTTATCCCTTGAGGTCCACGTGGCAAGGGTGAGGAGTGAGCACCACCTCACCCCTGCCACGTGGACCTCAATGGATAAACCATCCATCCTGCTCAATGGTCAACTTTCTTTGCGGGGTCACCCATGAAGACAGTGGGAGGGTTAAGCACAAATTATTCAAACATTTGATTTAAACATCTTGTTCAATAATCACATAGGATTATTTAACTTATAACTGTAAAATCATGGAGTCTTCAGTTATTCAGAGTGAAGAATGTTGTCTGGCTTCCAAGCAGAGAGAGTAGGACCTTGGCACAGAGGGTCTATTTCAATGTTTTGTCTTCATGGAATGTCAACACACGCTGAGCAGAACCTTCTGGATTTAGAAGGCCAAATAGAAAGTGATTTGTGCTGTAGATGAAAGGTCACTAAGTTTATCAATACATAGGTGAAAATTGACCCTTTTGGTACGTTACAAACAGTTTAGTTCATTCATTGTACAAAATGTCCAGCATTTTCAAGTTAAGGGTCAACTTAAAACTACATTCAAAAGCATTCAAACTTTATTTAATACATTACTTAAAAAATCTGTTGAACTGATAACAAATTTTTATTACAAGCTTACTCACAGGTTTGTGGATTGTCTTAATAAAGATTTATAAAATATTTTAAAATATATTCCAACTTTTACAATCGGGTCCAAAAGTAGCATTTGAAAGAAAAATCCAGGTCATGTAAGACATGTGATGATATGAGCCCCTTGCAAAATGGATTTTGAAAACAAGAAAGGAAAATTCAGGATGAAAACCAACCAAGAAAAACTAAAATTATAGAAATTCTAATTCCACATCATCTTCACTAACCACAGATCACTCCAACATCTTCCTTGTGTGTACAGTTGTGTTTCCCCACCTTTGACCTCTTACAGTGCAGCAGGGACCTCTCACCACCCTCGCATTCCACATCATCCAGCAGGATCTTGACTCTGCCGTCGGCCGCTCCCAGAGCCGCCTTCTTCATCACGGCCAGCGCGGTCCTGAAGCCGAGCTGTCGACAAACTACCGTGCCAGCTCTGTTGGTGAAAAGGTCATCACATACCGTTCCCCACTCCCCACGGATAAAGATCTCCACCCTGCCTCGATCCAAAAAACCATCAGCGCTTATGAGCCGCACTGAGCCAGCTGGCAGCCGTCTCCCTCCTCTTCCTCTTCCTCTTCCTCTGGGCTTCTTGGTCACATGGTTACCTTCTCTGACATTTTCAACTTTCTTTTCAGGCAGCATTTTTGGCGTATTGGTGCTGTTTGGTGTTTTCTGGAACTTCTCGTTTGAATATGGTGTCGTTGCTGTTGTTAAAGCTCTTGGAGGTTTGTGGTGGGGTGTAGAGATAGTAGCAGTCTGGGGCCGCTTCAGAGACGTGGACTGAGTGGGGAGGGGGTTCAAAGGTTGGGTGGTGGTACCAGTCGGGTACTGAAGAGGTCTCCCGTTTCTATTAGATGAAGGTGTGGTGACACTTGAGGTTTGAGTGGTCCTAGAGAAGGCTGCAGTCATGAGCGTTGCACGATAACCTGAGAGAGAGACAGAATCATCCTCTTTATTTTAATTTTCTATTGGAGGAGATTCATTTTTAAAAAAATTGGTATTCTGGAAAATGTATTCATTTGTTTTGCGTTTAAAATAATATATGAGGAGAAATTCTCAGCAAAAAAAAGGAAAGGTTTGGCTCAGATAAGTTTAAGGTAGCTGTCATTGTCTTTGTAAAGAGAACTTTACACATTATGAGACATCAACAGTTGTAATTTGGGAAATCATTAACCTGTGAGTGTCTTCCTGTGTGAGATCAATGCTTTCTTACCCTAGTTAAGTTTGATCAACCTGATTCAAGAAGGAACTCATGTTTTTAACATCGGCTGAAGCTAAATATAATTGGGGCAAAAAGTATTTGTCAGCCACCAATTGTGCAAGTTTTTCCACTTAAAGGTGCATCAAGTAAGAATGAGATAACAGTGACATCCTGTGGTCAGATTTGATTGCTGCAGCCCATTTTCACACTACGTTAGTCACATTCTCACTTCTGTGAGCCAGCTATGGCTCAGCACCATAAGGGTCTAGATGACAAGAGAAAAACGTTTCACTGTAATATCGAGTTGTAGGTAATTGAAAAAATACCTTGAGATATTTTTAGAGCTGTCTGCTTCAAATTCACCATTAGCATTGTTAACTCAATGTTAGCCTCCAGGCTTCTTTACCCGATATTAGAGTAAAACAAAAAGATACCATGACTTCTTAGTGGTACAAAAAACAATTTGTGCGTTAGTGGCTTAAGATCTTAACAAAATGCTGCTGTGTTCTTCCAGTTGGTGTTGATTTGGGGCCGGAATGTACTTGCTTTTTAATGATGCGTACGCATTTATAAAATGATTGCTTCGCATAACTTACATTGATTTGAACCGTAGTTTGTGCGCGTTCCCTAAAATTAACATGATACCTTTGAACGGTGCATTATATGCGTAACCAGTAACCTGTAACCAGTAGGAGTTGACAAAACCAGTGAGGCACACTCACCACGGTCACTCCGCATCTGGTTTAGAGGTCTTTCATGGTAACTACTGAACTGCTGTTGTGTTTTTCTGCCGTAATCTCAAAACTAACCAATTACTGATCTCTTCTATTGATGCCATGTTTGTTTTAGTTGTACTGCACAAACCCAGCTCTCTATCCAGTTTGAGTACTCTACTGTGCCCCCTAGAAAAATCCTCCGATACTACATGCAGTGCAGCAGCAAGTATGTGACCAAATGGGCCATTCCCATCTGTACCGGGTCGGCCCGGTCCGGGTAGCCCCAGTCGGCCCCAGCCTGGCCCGGTTGATTCCACACATCCTTGCCTTAAGCCCATGTGGGCTGATTCTACCCACCAATCAGAGGCTTGCTCTAATGGAAGGTGTGAATTTGCTGTCAGCAGTGGGTGTGTTGGCCCTGGTCGGCCTGAAGCAGACCTCCTCGAGAAGAGGGCTGAGAATGAGCCTTGGTTGGCCCGGAAAAATACCAGGCCACCCAGATATGTAAACAATCTAATGGGCCATTCCCATCTGTACCGGGTCGGCCCGGGCCGGGTAGCGTAGGTTGTTTACATATCTGGGTGGCCTGGTATTTTTCCGGGCCAACCAAGGCTCATTCTCAACCCTCTTCTCGAGGGAGTCTGCTTCAGGCCGACCAGGGCCGACACACCCACTGCTGACAGCAAATTCACACCTTCCATTAGAGCAAGCCTCTGATTGGTGGGTAGAATCAGCCCATTCACACCTTCCATTAGAGCAAGCCTCTGATTGGTGGGTAGAATCAGCCCACATGGGCTTAAGACAAGGATGTGTGGAATCAACCGGGCCAGGCTGGGGCCGACTGGGGCTACCCGGCCAGGGGCCGACCCGGTACAGATGGGAATGGCCCATATGCTACCCGGCCCGGGCCGACCCGGTACAGATGGGAATGGCCCAAAAGATGCATCCTGCTGCCTGTGCCAAAGCAAGGTTACAAAGCAATTACCGTAAATCCTCTAATACAGGCCCGGGCCTGTATTAGACTCAAGCTCATCAAGCTCCAGGCCTTTATTGGAAGGAGGACCAGAATTAGAGGCAGGCCTCTATTTCTATTTGAGCAAAATGAACTAATGGTTTGCTGGAGTTTTTGACAATTAAAATTGCGCCCACATTTTCAAAGTTAAACACATTTCTTTTAACAACGGTAGTTTCTGCTTCAGCCCTCTCCCCCCTCCCCCTGCGCAGCGGCCGCAAACTCACTGATGTGCCTGCAGCCTCTCAGAGTTCCTGCTGCTCTAAACATTAAAATAATTATTTCATTTTCTGTTCCTCACTTCTGATTACCTTCAATGGTGTCTGTTTGTTGCAACCACCAGGTACAAAAACTAACTTGCTTTTATTTGACTATTTTTCTGTCCTGCCTGTTTATTATCTTCCTGCATCTCCTCTCAATCCTAAAGAGAAACTGCTACCTGGGTTCATATATATTCAACTTATGAGTTACCTTTGAACAGCAGTTCTAAAACATCTACCGACCGCAAAAACAGCGGAGTGCTCGCTGCTTGGCGGCCGCATCAGTGATCGGTGCATCACCGGAGGACAAGGTGATGCGCCCCGCTCCACAACAGCGAAACACATCAGGCACAAATAAAAGACAGAAAACTTTAAAGGAAATGAACCGACATGAACGATCGCGTGTCAGTACCGACGCTCTGGCACAGCGCGTTGCCCCCCCCCCCGAGTGCAGGAGCTTGTCACCTGCTGACAGCAGGCTGCTGTCTTTTCCAAGGGCTGCATCTTGCCAGTCATTATCACGTGACAGCGACTAGTCGATGACGGGCATAAAAAGTCACTATAGTGAAGTCGACTAGTTCATACAACCCCTACTGCTCCCCAAGTGTTCTGCAGCGCACGTTCTCTTTGAACTTGATATCAAAATTTTCGCCTCCTCTTCGTTTCCGCATGGTTAAAGTTACCCTCGCGGTCTATCACTGGCAAATCAAAAGTGAGACGATGACACAACCGCCCCCGTACTTGCTTGTTACCACATTCCACCCGGCCACAATAAGAGACCGGCAATTATTCACCTCCACCGACTCCGACACCGGCCAAAATATGAGACCCGGCCGTTAATTGAATACAGGCCTGTATTAGAGGATTTGCGGTATATTCCAGACCTAACAAATGTCAGTGCTGCAGTGCAGACTGCCACCCTGTGGACTCACAGACTGTAAACAAAACTACTTCCCTTTTTGGCCTTTTTGAAAGGACAAAAACTGACAACCCCCCAGCCGGCTGGGAATGAAATTTGTTTCAATACAACCTTCCTTCCAACGTGACCTTACTGCATTTAATAATTTATTTTAAGATTTAACTAAGTGAATTTCATACTCTGATTACTGCAGTCTGGTGTTGACACCATATATGTACACAAAACCCCTAAAATGCTGTATGGGTCTCCTCATCTTATTCTTTCTGTAAAGAACTGACAAAAATGACAGACACACAAGGAGGATTGTCCAAACTGAAGCTGATGAAGAAAAATTTATTCAAAATAAATAATACTTTGTTTAAATTAGAGTAGTGCAAATACTCGATAGATAAACAGCACCGTTTGTCCTGTTAGAGACTTTTGTACCAGCAAAAACAATAAAATCCCATTAGCAGCTTTAATTAAAAGGAACCCAGGTTACAAAACTTTGCGGTTATTAAAAGATAAATGTTAGTATCAGTTATATTACATTGGAGTAAAAACCCTTCTTAATGTCTTCATTTTTATAAAATTTGTAAAATATAGTTTAACTCGTAGGTCGCCATTGTTGTTAGTGTCGCAATGCACTCTGGGTAGTGACGTCATCTGGTTGTACCTCAGTTGCACCGGCCGGCTTTGGGACCCTGTAGCGACTGCTCAGCGACGTCAACATGTCATCTGTTCAGCCTTTTCAACTTGAACCAGAGTGAAACATTAATGAGGACATCACTGACGATGTTTCACAAACCGAGCATCAAAATAAAGAGCAAGAAGGGCGGGATGAAGCGAGAGTAGGACAAAACCGGTGGTGCGTGTGCGGCAAATGCGTCTTCATGGTAACCGAGAGGGAGAGTGCTCACATTTGTCAGCAGAAGTTAACGGTAAGCTATCGTGTGATCAAATTTATTCAATTATGAATGATTTGAGAAGATTAGCATCCAGAGCTGTCGTGTGCTTTGTAGATGATTAGGATATTCAGTGAAACAAATTTAATCATTTTTGCAGATATTATATATTTGGAGAACACTGTATTGCTACACTTACTGCTTGTTTTACTGACAGGAGAGGTGAATGTTCAGCTTCATCCAAGACGAGTGGCGTGTCCGATGGTTCGCTGAACGTGACAGAAGCGGTAGCTGCAGGAGCGGTTTGTCGGATCAGGAGAGCGTCCAGCGCCTCGTCTCTCCGAGGGCGCTTAGACTCCTTGTGTGGGAAAATGGTCAGTAAAGCATTTAGTTTCCACCTTCTCTTATACCCAGCTGCTCTGGTGAGCTCTTTAAGTAGTTGTGGTCGACTATAAGCCTCAAACGCATCAGGAGAAAAATGTTGGGAACACAGCCGCGGATCTTTGGGAAGTTGTGTCCGTCCACAGGCATCCTCCACTGCTTTCTCCTCTTCTTGCCAGTGGGAAAGCTGTAACTCACATCACTCCCCTTGTTGCCTTTTGACTGGAAATTACATCCAAAAGCAGCCCAATGCAGCATTTTACTTAATTATTAATACGGTGAGCTCGTAAACAAACACTAGCGTCAATAGCTATTCTACCAAGAGCAACCAATATACGTCATCGCCCCCAGAGTGCATTGCGTGCGAAAAACATGGCGCCCTACGTATGTCAAAAAATGTACTAAATATTACAGATTTATAAATAAACAGCAATATTTTGTGTGTTTCTAACAACATAGTTTGGTACAACAGAAAACTTGTGGCTTATTAGGGTATAAACGTCCTCATAGCCAGAGTTCCTTTTAAGAAGTAATGGCCATTCTACTTTATTTTTAACATAAAAATGAGAAAAATGTCATCCTGCCAGAGGAAATGAACTCAGAACACAGGTGAGACAAGAAATGCCTCGGCAATAATTTTATTATGAACAATCTGTTTTGGGATTATTTTTGTCTCTCTCTATATATATTTTTTGAGGTATTAAATAATTACTTTACCAATTTTTCCATATTTTAGGGAATTTTTTTTTACAATGCAAGGATGTTGGGATGTGCAAAAACTAATTAAAGGCATGAACAAACCATCCCATACCTGGATGTACATAACATAAAAATAATGGTGATAATAAACAATTTTTAATATAAATAAAATAAATTTTAATATAAATAAAACAAAACTATTACACATATTAGGTTGGAAACATGCCTTCTAAAGGGTTTTACTTTTAAAATTGTTGTAAAAAAAATTAACTAAACTAATGTACAATTCATCTAATTTAATAATGTTTCTTAAATATTTGCCGAATTTGTTCCAAAATCAGGGATACTTTCAATAAAATTATTTAAATAACAATTAATATTACATAATAAAATGTCCAAAAAGCAGTAATAATTAGATTTCCTCTAACGCACAACCCAATGAAAAAGCAAATTCATGTAAAAGTCAAGTGCAAAAGATATTTTTTTGAAACAGAGTAAATTTTTTTACTTAAGTATTAAATGATAAAGCAAGAGAAGAGTGCAGAAACCTGAGTAACCAGTGCTACTGCTGGTTCCCTCTCCTCGTACAAAGGTGTGTGACGGTGTGGATGTGGGTTCAGACTGGTTAGTGGTTCTGATAACAGCTGAACCATAACCTGGCTGATGAGTGGAGCTAGTGAGATAAACAGGTGCACCATTAGGCCTACCAGTTGATGCAGTTGTAGCTGGATTAGCCAGGCCCGTCTGGATGGTTGTTGTGGCTGATGTAGCTTTTCTAGTTGCCTTAACAGGTAAATTTGTCTCAGGTGTTGTAGCTTTTCTTGCTGCTGTTGTTGGAGGAGGCCCTTTTCTTGGCAGCCTTGTTGGAATTGGTGGTTTTCTGATTATTATTGGTTTTCTTAGAGTGGTTTTTTTCATTGTTGAAGTTTTTGCTGTGGTGGTTGTGGGAATGGGGGTTGTGGTCGGTTTCTTGTTGATGACAAACTCTGCAAAAAAGGATGAATAGAATCGTTAGTGTTTTTTTTTTACTTCACATGCGGACTTGTAAGGGATTTTTGTAAAATATTTGACCTTTTTTTAGGTTAAGGGGTTAGTATCTTAATTGTAGATAGCTCTTAAATTAGATTCTACTTGGAGGAAAAAAGATTAGTCCCAATTAACAGCAGGAATGCTGATAAATAGTGACTGAATAGACAAAATAATTTTTGAAGTAGTTTTGAGGTGGCGGTAATCTACTTTGCCCGTCCTGCTAGAATAACAATTGGTCCAATCAGACGCTTCTCCAAACTGTGGCCATTCAAAGAGCTTTTTACAGTAGTAATTATACACAACCCACTGGCAACCTGTTCAGGGTGTACCCTGCCTGTTTGTCTGAAGACTACTGGAGATAGGCACCAGCTCTCCAAGACCCGGCGTGGATAAGCAGGTATAGACGATGGATGGATAATGCACAACTCTTCCAAAATATTTCAAAAGCTCTGAACAAATACTGTAATTGTAACCATCCGTCCATTTTCTGAACCCACTTGTCAGAGCCACTCAAGTGGGGGTGTCAATGGGCAATCAGGCAGGGTACACCCTGGACAAAGCCAGTCCATCGCAGAGCGCACACACACACACACACACACACACACACACACACACACACACACACACACACACACGTAAGGACAATGTGGACAGACCAATCAACCTAACAGTCATGTTTTTGGACTGTGGGAGGAAGCCGGAGTACCCGGAGAGAACCCACCCATGCACAGGGAGAACATGCAAACTCCATGCAGAAAGATCTCGGGCCGGGAAGTGAACCCAGGACCTTTTCTCTGCAAGGCAACAGCTCTAACAACTGCGCCACTGCACAGCCCACTTTAATTTTATTTGATGTTAATATGATTAAAATTAGCTCCTTAAAGTAAATAAACTGTTTATACACATTTCAAATTAGAAATAAGGGAACATGTCAAGATTTTGCATTGAGAAACAAACTGTGTAGTTATCTTTTGATCAGTTGGCACACAATCATATCTCTAAAACTAGATCATGACATTGTAAAAATATTCCAGTTTAGTCAAATTGATTTCATATGGATTATCTTTTCTACTAATGAGCAAGAGTAACTGCATTTCTTACCCTCTTGAGGTTGGAAGTGAATGAGTTTTCCCTTTACTCTAATAGGAAGAGGCTTGATGCTGCATTTTCCTGGTGGCGCTCGTCTGTGGGGTCAAAAGAGGAAAAGACACACATCCAGTTTACACAATTTCACAGGAACGTTTTTGAGTTTTTTGTATCAAGTAATTTTACTTGAGTCTCTGAGCAAATAATCAAAGTATGATTAAGAAATTACTTAAACAGCTGAGATTAAAGCAGTTTTTACAGGAAAAGACCACCTCCCATCTCTAGTGGATCATGAGACATGACTGGGATGGATATTTTTGAAGAGACTTTAATTATTTTGATGAAATATTTTTATTTTTTCACAACTTACAAGGAAATCTTGAAGTAGGTAATATCAAAGTCCATTTGGATGTCTAGCTCATTTTGGGAAAAAGGTTATTTACTATGATACACACTTCATATGTGGTAAACAGTTTTGTCTTGCTTTTAGCACCCCTAGTGTCCGTTTGTAGAACTGAAACCAAAACTTATCTCCTAGCTATGTGTTAGTCTTTTTAACGCCTTAATCTAACAGCTGAAATGTCTCCCCAGCCTTCATTAGTTTCTACAAGAGTGATTCATCTAAAAATTAAACAAATCAGCTGTGTTCATGATCTAAAACATGCAGGAAATGTGCTGGAAGCGGACTGCAGTGTTCGGTAGGTCAGCTCGTTTTTTCCCAACATTGGCCCACCTGTCTAGCCTGGCCTGCCAGACTCCTCCTCTGTTTAATTCTGCACAGAGAATGAGTCTGGGAACTCTCCTATTCAAATAACCCCACCCCGTGAGAATTCTGACCGAGCCAATCAGCGCCAAGTATCGTACGTCACACACCACAAGGCCGAGTTTGTCATAAACATGGTGACTGAAGTGGAGTTCGCTGCGGCTCTTTCCTTTGTTCTAAATGATTTGAACACGTCTTTAAAACCACAATAAGTAGAAGCGCTAAAAGCATTTCTTCTAAACAAAGATGTTTGCACTGTCGACAGACTCCATTTTCACTACAGCTAAAAAAACTACAGCGTTGCGGACGTGTCACACACAGTGGCGCTCAGTTTCTCATAAACAAAGAAGTTCGCTGCGACTCTTTCCTCTGTTCTAAATGACTCAAATGTCCTTAAAACCACAGGTAGAAGAGCTAAAGGCATTTCTTCTAAAAAAAATAAAAATAAAAGATGTTTGCGTCGTTGCCAGATGCTATTTTTTTTACTACAACTAGAAATCTACCGCGCCATGCGATACAGTCGGGATTTCCGTCTTTTTTCTGATTGGTCATTTTTGAGCTGCCTAGTCCCGCCCCTCAAGTGCCTCTCTGCCTGTGAGTTACCAGATTCATTCTCTGTGCAGAATTAAACAGAGGACGAGTCTGGCAGGCCAGGCACCAGTCTGAAGTTGCAAGTAGAATATTCTGGCCAGAGGGGGCGATGGGGACTGAGTGGCCTTTCATTGACCCTGTAATGTCATTTTCTACTGAAGTCTCAACTATATCTGCCTGACATAAACGTTTTCACAAGTACTTTGCTCTAGTTTTTCTTAGTTGAATTTACTTATATTTCAGTTCATTTTACTTAGTAATTGTGGCTCCAACACATAATTATCTAGTCTCATGCACTTATAATTTTCAGTTTGCATGTTTTTCTAAGTAAGCAGAACTAATCAGATTTACAGTGAAGGCGTGAGATGCAAGTGACACATCTGCAAATAATTTGACAATGTAAATTTCCATGTCACAATTTAGCATCTCAGTGAAGTCTGCATTTGTTCCAGATGACTGACTCTTTCAGACGGAATTTGTCCTGCGAATGTTTTGAACACTGTCAACACTTTTTAAAAAGTAATTTATTTGACTAAATCCACTTTTCAAAGGCATTTTGTTTGATGGTAACTCAGCGTAGTTATGAAGAATTTCACAGCAGTGATTTTCACTTGCAAGTGAGGAGAAATCACAGGCATATGAATGAGAGCTGCATTCCACGTCTTGCACTGTACATGCTAACTGTTCTTTACAAGTTCTGACAAACAAAGCCATTTCTAACAGAAGCACATACCTGGACGGATCGATAATCTTATAAATGACTCCTGATTTGGCTTTGGCACTCGGGACTCCAGTGGATAAGAAATATAATTCACCTGAAACAGTTTAAGGAAGGGAAAGGACAACGAAAAATATAGAAAATGAAAAATAGTAAAGAAGTATATGTATGGGGTAACGAAGGACGACACATATGTAACAAAGCATGAGAAATATTATTATTAATAATATAATAATTGTTATAATACTATAATGATATTATTAAGACTAAATGATAAGCAAGTAATTTTACCTGCTTCATCCTCAGCAAATGAGATGATGTATCTGTGATAACTGTTGATGAGTTTGGGAAACCTGCAGGTCTGGTCTGTGCCCATACAGATCTCATTGTACACCCATTCACCTGTCGCTGCGTTCTCCTTCAGGGACATCAAACGCCTAAACTCCAACAGAAAATAAATGAACACAAACACCACAGCAGAGGCTAATGCATCTCACCATAAAACTAGGGATGTTTGATGTCTGCTTTTTTACCGATATCTCCTACACCGATAGTTAATAATGGTCTAACTGTTAATTTCCGATACCAATATAAAACAAATACCAAAGCAATGACATTGGGAGAAATGAAGCACCCATCTCCCAGGCAAACAAATCTCGCTGTTCCTGTGCAACTGGGTGATTGGCTGCTTGGGACATCCCTGCCTACACCCCTATGCTTTCTCACTGGCCCAGCTGTGTGCAGTCTGTAATTGCACTGAGTGGCTGCACCTGTGGGTGCAGCATAAAAGCCTGATTGGTGCAACTTCATGATATCAAAGTTATTGGACAGATCACCTCTAGTGCTGCTGCCTGTTTGCTATTTTGATAGGGCAATTTGAAAATCTGTTTTGGCCAGTTGTGCCAAACAAGCAAAAGTATATCATTACCTCCAAACTGTCATATTTAGACATTTTGAGTTGGAAAAGAATTTGTAGCATAATATGTGTTCGGTATATAACAGTAGTGTTATTCAAAGAGTAAAAAAACTATTCCAGTATTACATTTTAATGCCAAATTCGGATATAATATCGGACATCCTTACTTAAAACAAACATAAGTTTAAATAAGTTTTGTGTGTGCGTGTGTGTGTGTGTGAACACTCACCCACTCATGAAATCCCCAAAAATGTAAAGTCCATTAAGATTGGGCATCTGGCAGCCTCTGTAGATGTATCCTCCTGTCACCGATTTGCCCAGCTTGTGGGGGTAGTCAAATATCGGCAGGACATCATCTGCAAATTCATGTAAACGAAAAAAAAAAAACAATGCACTTTATACTTGAAATGGTTAATGGCCTGTATTTGATATAGGGCTTTCTAGAGTCCTGGAAACCCCCAAGGCGCTTTACAACACAGTCATTCACCCATTCACACCCTGGTGGTGATGAGCTACGATGTAGCCACAGCTGCCCTGGGGCGCACTGACAGAGGTGAGGCTGCCGTATAATGGTGCCACCGGTCCCTCCGTCCACCACCAGCAGGGGTTGAGTGGGGGTTGAGCGTCTTGCCCAAGGACACACAATGACAGCAACTCGAACCTGCGACCTTTTGATCTCGGGGCGAGCACTTAACTTCTGTGCCACCATCACCCCAATGAACAATATGATCAACAGTTCAGTTAAAATTATGAAACCAAACTAATTTATGACATCTTGATTGAATAGTTCAGATTTTATATATATATATTTTATATATTAAAAAAAACCTTTATGCTTTAACAGCCCAACTGAATGCTGACTCACCTAGAGATGAATTTTGACACAGATTCTTATCGTAGCAACTAAAGCCTTCTTTGGCCCTCCAGCCGTAGTTTCCTCCTGTAAACAATCATAGAAGAGTTTATTCCAAAAGTCAGAAAACACTTGGTGGAGCTACAAATATTATATAAACAGTTGAAGACACAGATTCATTATATGGTTATGAAAGTAAACATTTCTGTAATTGTTTGTTTATTTTATTTTATCAACAAAACCAGTTCTTATTCACTTTAATTATTAAAGACAATGGTCACTTGTTTTTGTAACCCATTTGCAGAGGTCACCAGTAAACAAATGCTTGTGAGATTTTCTATGTGGGACTAAAGCTCTGGTGCTCCTGTGTCAGGAACTTGAAGTTAGCCACAGCTGAGGGGAGCAGAAGATGGCAGAATTATGAGTTTTATTTCCTGATATTCAGACATCTCACTTCTGATTGGCTAACAGCAACGCAACTCTTCCACTGACTTTGTTTATTCTGCAATATTGATGTTTCATCCGTATAACTAACACAAGCCTGAAGGAGTTCTGCCATGTAATGGCACCCCCAAGGGGTGGCCAGGCAATTGTTAATAAATCATATTAATGTTCACTCAAACCATGAATTGATCTTATTTATTCCAGACATAATTATGAAACAAAATAAAAATAATACACTGAGTAAAGAAATAATCTGGATTAAAAAAAACATATGTTTCTGCTGCACACCATTAAAAAAGTTTTTATCTCCATAGTTTTTTGTGAACACAGCAACAGGTGAATTAAACAAAAATATATATTTTAAGAAAACATTTAAATAACATTTTAAATAACTGAAATTAATTTTTCTGAAATGTTTGTGTTTGTAAAATTGAAGTGAAGTGTTTTGGATACATACAGTTTTTTTTTCTAATAGAAACAAATAAAGGAGCAATGCAATACATCACCACAGACTAAACTCTCCTAGAGTTACCACAAGGACCAATCTGGTGTGCAACCCCAAAAATGTCTTTGGCCCCGTCTGGCCACCCCATCATATTTTTCTTGAGGTGCCCCTGCTGCCATGTTGTGGAGTTGCTAATGCTAACGGTTAGCTTCTACAAGCAGAAACGTGCTCCGCTCTCTCCTGAATGGTAGATCAACAACAGCTTTCCTCGTCGCGAGCCAAGATGAGTGAGTCAATCAATGCTAATTTGACAATGTGACATGTTGACTGGCTTTTCTAATCTAATTTATTTTCTACCAGACTGGAAATAGGGGCAGAAGACTATTTTCAGAACTTTAAGCATTTCCACTGTTAGCTAATGATGATTTTAAAAATAGATAAAAGTCAGGGTAAAAGTGAAAAATCTAATATCTTACTTTATCTTACCTTTAATAATGATGTCTATCTCTTCATATTTGTTCTGGCCAACATCACCACAGAACATCCTGCCTCTGCCGGCGCCTGTAACTAGGTCACCGCGGTCAATGGAGCAACGCCACATGTTGCGGACCCCATAAGCATATATCTCTGCGTCAATAAAAGACAAACAAGCCAAGACATTTAATTACAGCCTGTTGTATTCAACAGAAACTGTAATAAAAATGTGTGTGGAGTATATTTTGTTTACAAGACAAAAGAGCCCAGTCATCCCATTTTTAAGGGAGTATTTTGAGCTGAATTATGGCCATAAACATGCTACCACATGTAAATCTTCCCTTCATCAAAAAATGATCAGATTGGGGGATTTACCGGGTAGTGCTTCTGGTTCTCCTATGAATGGGTTGTCAGAGGGAATGCTGTACGGAGCACCGTCATCATTGTTGTCCACATCAATACGCAGAGCTTTACCGAGAAGAGTAGACCTGTCAGATAAAACATCATTCTTCAGATTCAATTCTTTCTTTCCATGAAGAAACATCAGATAGTAGCTTAAAGAGCTAGGATAAGAACTCATTCTCACTAATGTAACTTTTTAATTTCCCTGTTTATGTAAACACATCATTCCATGATTTAGGTCATGTTTTTATGAGTGCAACCCTAAAAATACATCTTTTCATAGCATTTTAAAAATGTATCAAGCTGTCATCACAGATAAAAGCTTCATAATGTCAAAACTTTGTGTTAAAAAACTGCAGCTCCTTCATACGCTTAAACGCTTAAACCCCCATGGAATATTTTGCAAATTTGCATCAAACCTTCAGCACACCTTTTAAAAATACAGATTATTAGTATTAGTATTATCATCAAATGCCTGCCATATACAGTGCCATCAATTACTTTGGCTAAATCTGTTCAAACAAGTATTTATGCCTGAAACCTTAACCACTTTAAAAGTGGTGTGTGATAATTCAGGATCAGTAAGTTTGGTGGAGAAAACATTGACATTCAATATACTGACTTGTTTTGTGAATTGCCAAACTTTCCAAATGGGTCTCCAGCTCGTCCACCATCGCCTATGAAGATGTACAGATATCCATCATGACCAAAGAGCAGTTGTCCTCCATTATGGTTGGATGCTGGCTCTACCACTTCCAGAATGGTCCTACCACAGGAAACACATCAGAAGGAAGCATGTGTTATTTGAGGTATGCATTAACATACTGCCAGCATGGATTTGAAGTTCTACCTCTCAGATGAATGGTCTAGCTGGTTATCATCATGAGCTGAGAGCATGAACTCGCTGACCCGTATTCTTTCCTCCATCTTGACTGACACCGAGTAGTACACATAAGCTTTTCTGACTGTGGCAAACCTAAACACAGAACAAATGCTCGTTATAAATACACAAATTGGTGTAATTTTCTTCTAAACATAGTACAAAAATAGCACCCTTTAATTGTGGTCTAATTGACTTTTTGGAGATTGTTATTATTTCCTCATGAAAAAATAAACGTTTTTGGCTGCATTCATGTAATTTCATGTCTCAGCTGCAGATTTTGAGTTTTACTTTGAAAATTCTGTAAAGCCTTAATGGAAACTCATCATCAGGCCCTGCTCCTCTTCCGGAAGCTAGTCTCAGGTCTGAAACCTGTCTCCCCTGGCCAGCACAGGATATGTGGCTGAGGCGACTAGTGTCGTGTAACAGACTTGGTAGTCCAGCGGACACCTTAACCACTGGACCACCATAGCCAATACAGCAACTGACTCGCTTAAGATGCTGTTGTAGGTATGTTTTGTCAGAGCAGGCATGGGCGGAGTTCCACTTAAACCAACCATTTTATTTCTGGGTATAAATTCAGGCTGATGAATATAACTTGTATAATGACATCTGAATTGTGCCAACTGTAACATTTTATCATATACTGTGCCTATCTTTGTTCTCAAAGGTTTAAAATAGCATGATATTGAACCTTTAACAGACCTTGGGTGCAGGGCAATGCAGAGGAATCCCCTCTCATCTCCAGTCCACGGCGATGTGAGCACAGCTTGTGTGAGGTTCAGAAAAGGACGGTCAATCCTGGAGCCGTTAGCCAAATAAACCCAAACATAACCCAGCTGCTCTGCAACAAAGAAGCGATGGCTTCCATCATCTGCATGGATCATGGCCACGGGGTTGCGGAGACCGTTAGCAACCTCCTGCAAACACAACTCCAGACAGCCTTTAGGATCCTCACGTACCAAACCCAGGTTTGCATTTAGTTCTAGAGAAAATAAAAACACAGGAATGAAAATAAATGATAAAATATTAAACAATTTTTTTTAATAAACATGAAATGAGCATGATGTTTGTAATCTAAGTGCATTATTTCCAACATCAATCAAAGCAAACCACTTATTTATTTTATGTCTGTGGGAATATGTTCTATTGTAAATACTGTACCTGCATTTGTCAAGACATTAGGGTAGCAGTACTGCTTGTCTTTCAGCTCTAAAAAGTCACAGAACCTCTTGTGATCGTCCTCTATTGTGACAGTCAAGTTAGCAAACTGCTGTGAGCTCTTCTGGTCCTCCAGTAGGAGGCTGAGTGTGTATCGACACTGTCGCCAGTAATCAGAGCAATAATCCCTGCAAAGTCCTGGCAGGACTCGCATAGGTGTGTTGGCATCCTCCGCATCATACAGGTGGGCGGCATATGGGGAACACTCCTAAAATGAACAAAAATCCATGTCAGTGAACATCAATGGTGGTGTCTAACGTTTAACATGTGCTTGTTTAGCTCAAGAAGAAGACGGATTTGTGTGCACTCCTCAATACCTTAAGTCAGACCCGGATTATATACAGCTCAGTAAAAAAAAATAGAATCCAGCGCAGGTCCAGTCAGTTATTAAGTCACAACCACACTGTCCACACCCAAAAAGGCAAGTTGCAGGCAGAAGGAAGCACAACACCCAAACCATCATGTGGTCAGCTTGGGCAGTTTCACTGACTGTGAGACTGTCATGAGGAACAGAGCCAAAAAAAGACATCAAGCAGCATATTACACAAGCGTACGTGCTCCAGCGTTTATGTGACTCTAAATAAAAGAGGCACCAAATCTAGACAAGGATATTTCACAGATGGATGCTTGGAGCAAACCAGAGCGCATTAAGTAGGAACATTACATTTGTATGTAACTGAGGCAGAACTATGCCAGGCCAGTGGGTGGCAGTATAACTAACCACATGGGTAGGAAGTTAGTTCAGGGGCTGCATCCTCCAAAGGCCACATTTGAAGGCAGATTATGCCAAAGTGATGCAACAAAGGCTCTCCAAAACTTGAAGGCTTCTCTAAATGTGGCCAACAAAGTTGTCCTTCTTTCCCTCGAATTTGAAGGTGTGTACTTGATGGCCCACCCTATCCCACGATGGAATGCAAGGGTTTGTGTAGTTTGTAATAAAGGCAGGTGAAGCGGGAGAGGTTTACAGTTTTAAATGTACATACATTTGGATGTGTTTTCACCCAAGGCAAGGACGAAAACCCATCTGAAGGCTCGACCATCCATCTCTGGTCTTCATGGTCGATGGGGATAGGCTGAGTCGTTTGAAGGGTGCTGCCCCTTAATTTGGACACCGCCTGAAACTCCTAACAAGACTAAAAATCTAGCTTGGTAATTATGATAGTAAAACTTTGTTTTCATGTATTTTGGTTGTATCTAAGTCACACATCTTTCTGACTGCTTTTTTAAAGCTTTTATAGCTAATCTACAGATTTTGAACGCAAACACAGTCACGGTGGAACACTCACCCCTCCCCTCGGGTATCTTCCCCGGGATGACTCTGCCTCATCCAGAAACCCGCATTGCCAAAGGAAACAAGATAGTGCTAAACATCAGTCGCCGTTTTCTAGGTCCAAATGACTTTGGTTGTCCGTTACTTCAAATGGAATGTTTTTCTTTTTGGGACTCTGGTAGTTTGTCCTAAGGATGTGGTAGCAGCCAGCTGTTTCTCCTTCTCTGATGTTATTGAGAGGAGAATCTCTCACACCAAGCAAGTGTGTAATGAGTGCAGAAGTGCAGCAGTTTGGCAAGACCAATAACCGGATGGTCCAATAGTTGCTTTCGGTCTGAAACATGTTACTAGCAGAGGTTTTTAGACAAATGCGAGAAAACCACTTTATTAACTTGTTTTTTTTTTATCTCCACAATATATTTATAGCTGTGTCTGAACGTTGTTAAGAGTCCAAATTTGCCATAGCAGCTTTATTTTTGCTACATGCTTTGCTGTTATTATTTTTAAAGCACACAGACAAAACAGCTGCACACAAAGGTGTTTTTTATTGATTATAATTATTGTTAGTGCAGACAGTGTCTTGTTTCACTACTTTGCTAAAACCCCATAAATAGGCTAAAAAAGGTTATAACAGTTGCAAACAACTAACTGTCCACCTCTTTTTGCTACATGTGTAGCTTTGTAAACACCAGTTTTGACTTGTGGAGGAAAAAGTGGTATCAACCATGGTATAGAATCAGTGAACTAATGGAACGTTTTTGTTGTGGCAACATTAACCATCCTCTGAGCTGCCTTTCCTTTGAATGACTTGCTTTACAGCACAAAACAGTCTGAGATCTGGTTGCTTCAGATGAAAGCTTCACTAACTAAAGTTTAGGTATTTATCTAATGATAAGATTTGCTCAGACTTCAATGCAATGTTGTTTGTTCAGTCAACTGATGCTGCAAAAGCTAACCATTGTTTTGGAGATTTAACTCTAAGTCCTGTCATCCTGGACAGTTGCACAAATGCATGCAACTACAAACAGCTGCACTTTGACAATAGAGTCATTTGAGACTACTATAATTTAGTGTTTTCATCTGTCTTTCTAAGTCTCTAATCTGCACTGAGTGGTCCAAAAGTCTATGTTTTATTACAGCCTGGAGAGAGACAAGAGTCATGGCAAACAGATGGCAAAGACATGGTCCCTATTTAAGAGCGAGGATTAAGGTTTTTAAGATTATATTTTTGTTTTTTTTATTGTTGTTGTCAGCATACAATAGGGAAATGATGTATTCATTATTTATTATATTGACCATTTTCCTCCTATATCTTCATCATATAAATCTCCATCTTTGGTCTCTCTAACCTCCTCTCTTGGTCCATCTCTGGCAGGAACTTGAAATAGCTTGTGCCTGTGGCCAGAAACGGAAATTGTTGTTTGTTTGGTTGTTCAAGCTCCAGAACGATGACAGTGTCCTTCTCGTTTCTTTGAAAAACACAAATGAACACACACTTGTGCGCTGTACACTCTACTCTATCTCTTCCTCTTTATCTAAGTGCATCTGATATGAGTGCAGGAAGCTCCCATTGTGATACTCACAGAGAGCATCATTTTGCTGAGTTTACCCAGCTTAAACCCCCTAAAAGTGGGGTAACTTGACCACCTTCAGAGCTCCTTTTTATCCCAAACCAGCAAACGGGGAGCAGGAAACCACGGAACAGTAGTTTGTTAATCAGAAGACAAATTAAAATGCTTAAACCAACTGATTATCCAGATGGAAAAATCCCACTTATTCACAGGAGCTGTTAACTTATTGTTTAATCAGCATCCTATCAAAAAATAAACATTTCCCAGCTCCACATATTTACATTGTTTTGAAGTCAGCCAACAATCAAACTTGACTATAAGCTGTAAGTAGACACTCAGCAGCACTATTATTACACTCAAAACCAGGCCTGCTCTGCATGGAAAGCACTGTGGACTATAATTACTACAATGATAGAACCCATATTTTAACATTTGGTGATTTGTTACTGTCTTTACTTAGAATGTGATGTATTAAACATTCAAAAACACTTCCACTTCATTGTACGGTGGTTGCCTTGAAACTGAAACAAGCTGCTACATTATATACAGGGTATCCGCGGGTCCTTTAAAAGTCTTAAAAAGTCTTAAATTTGCTTTTCCAAATTTAAAGCCTTAAAAATCCTTAAAAATGATCCTTAAATACAGTTTCCAAAGGTCTTAAATTACCAAAGACCCAATAAACAAGATTCTTTTATTTCTATAAAAATTTTGTGAATTTCTAGTTAGTGTTCAGCATTTTTTGTGTATGATATTGGCGTAAGCGGAACCGTATACATTCAGTGAAAGGGGGCTATTTTTAGATGAGCACATTAGCTGGTTAAGCTAGTGGGAGCTTGCGCCATGGGAAAGTGCAAGTTTAATGGTAACTGAATGGCTAATCCCACGTTCGCGACGTTCCAGGCAATAGCTGGAAATCATAGCTTAAATTTAATTAAAAAAAACAGCCTAAATTTGGTCAAAGTGGCCTTAAAAAGGTCTTAAATTTGACTCCCTTAAACCTGCAGATACCCTGTATATAAGGTGTTGATGATCTAGTCGCCAGCTCATTAAGTTTTACTTGTGCATGTATTCCTTAAATTTGAGAGCCACGCAAAATTTGTGCTGCACCTACAATTCAATTTGCACTCACAAGCTGCACGTAGTTAGAGTGTGGGCTGCAAAGTCAGCACATAATTATGTAATCAGCGAGAGAGGCTGACTTCAGGGCGAGTTCCAACAATTGAGGGGCTGGACTTCAATGCAGGAATCTGTTTAAAATTAGACTCAAAACGGGAAACAAGAACACACGGGACTGAAAATACCTTTCAAAGGAAATAATAAAGGGTGGGTTCATTTCTAAAATTAGAGAAAGATTTCAGGTTGTAACTGTCTCAGTCACTGTTGTTTTGTTTTACCCCATTCTTGATCTAACCAGAGCACTCACTCATTCATTCTCTCACTCCTCAGTAGGGTCTCTGGGAACTAGAGCCTTTCTCGGGGGACACAATGGACAGACTGCTGGTCAGTGACAGTGACACACACTGCGATCCATGACACACTCACTCACACCTTAAGTCCCCAATTAACCTTAACATGTATGACCTTGGCCTGTGGGATGAATCCGGAGTACCTGGAGAAGACCCATGCATGCATGGGGAAAACATGCTAACTCTTTGCAGAAAGACAGCAGCCAAGATTTTTAAAGCTTCAATAACAGGTTAAACAAACTTTGGAAAATGTGCATTCCTAACCCATTTATTAAATTATTACATGTTTTCTGAGGACGTTGCAACTAGATGTTCCCCATTGTGTTACAACTACCAGTCAATCACACTGCTCATCTTTACCTGGTATATTGTTCTGATAAATAGAAGTAAAATAACAACCCTGGAAATCTATCTAGCTGAAGATTTGATCAGATTATTCATCAAAATGAGTTGTCAGTGATATTATTTTTATTCTTTTTTTATTATTATTGTCAAGAAATACAAACCAGATGTATATATGACTAAATAAATATAAATTGATTTGTAATGATTTATTTGGGGCATTAGAGTGAGAAATTTCACATCAAAACCAAACATCCTTGCTGAAACATTTGCAAAAGTCAAAATGTGCACATTGCCTTATTTTGCACTGAAAATATTAACAGTCACTGAATGAGTCCTTAGAGAGGACGGAGGTCTTCTAGAGACGCTTTTCTGTTTAAAAAAACACAGCAAGCCTAAACACAATGGTATATCCATAATGATCAAATGTTGCCCTATAAAGAACCACATATAGACCAAATGTGATCACAAGAGCATGCAAAACACTTCCCAATGGCCTGAAAGAGACTTTCCTCCTACCTGACAGAGGATGCTGCGGATGTATTTGCCACAAGTTGAGAACCCCGACTGGTCAAAGTTGTCCATGATCGAGTAAAACCTGCTCGATATCTCTTCATCCTTCTGGAGATCACAGCATCCAAACTTGGTGTACTCTTTGCAGAAGACCAATGGATGCTGAGGCTCAAAGGGAGGTTTGTAATCCAAACACTGAGGGTGACAGCACCCCCATCTGGCCTGGATGATCAAGAGCAGGAATGGGAGCAGTGGATCAAGGAGAAATGTTTTCTGCAGGATGTGATGGATGAGCAAAACTCTGCTCCATAGAGTCATGGTGCAAAGTGACTGTTATTGATTCAGGGTGATTTTACCCTTGGCTCAGATGTATTACCAAAGTTGCTTTGGAGTAAATCCCCGCAGGACCTATGAAACACAGAAAACACCCAGTTAAGTTTATTTTATGACTTACAGCTTCGTTCTTGTGTAGTTACATTCAGCTCTATGTTTTGTAATGATGGTGATTTTTAAAAAACTTTTAAAGGGAATAGATGGATCAAAAAATCATCTTGTGATCACAATAGGCCAAAATAAGCATGATCAAACATAACTGGTGATCACTTCAGGTGCTAGTTAATGCCAGCAATAACAATGTCCCATGGTAAAGTTTAAAAAGGTTAAAAAATAAAAGGATTTCTGGTCATTTATGGTTCTTGGAAATATATTGGGAAAGGATAAAATCAAAAATTGATACTAAAACTAAATCAGTGTCTAAAAATGAACCACGAAAAACAGAGGTTCCCAAAAATGTTATTTTCAAAACTAAATTGCTGCACATGATGTCGCCAATTTGTCAACTGTAGAGATATTTCAAGCTTTCAGCTCTTCTGAACATTTTTTTATTTCATTATTATTATTTTTTTGATTGAATATAGAAAATATCCTTACAGATGAACATCAACCTCACAGGGTTTAAAACGTGGCTCATACTTACTTTCTTGTTTTGGGGTTACATGTTTGTGCTTGTTTTGCAGACTGACCGCAGAAAGACAATCAAAATAAATACGATTTGGGGCAGTTTTTCAGGATTTTTGCATTTACGAAACAGTGTGTTTAAATATAGGGAATAGTCTGTGTGAAACAAAACAAAGTTATGTAGCCCTTAAGAACCCAAATCCAGGTTGGAATAAATACATCAAAATTTAGAAAAATGAAATAAAATTAAGAAGTAACATTTTTTTTATATATTGTGGATAGGATGTCACTTGGGGTTATCAAATTTTAATATATGACTCAATAGGCAATTTTGCAGATGTTTGAAATGGGCTGTGACTCCAGTGTCACCACTGGGATAATTCTTAATAAATTCAAGCAGAAGTTACATGACATATTATAGTGTTATGAAATCATTTATAGGTTTCAGGTGTCACATGGTGAAGACAAACTAATTTGTTCAAATGGAGGCTGAATTTCCTATTAGTCCTTCACTCCTTGTGTGTGTGTGTGTGTGTGTGTGTGTGTGTGTGTGTGTGTGTGTGTGTGTGTGTGTGTGTGTGTGTGTGTGTGTGTGTGTGTGTGTGTGTGTGTGTGTGTATGCGTGTGTGTGTGTGTGTGTGTGTTAAGCACACCACCCTGCCATCACACCTGCCTGCGAGTTGACCAGAGACCTCCAGAATGCTCAGGATGAGTTACATCATTGACCCACGGATCATGCTAATGCGTGCTGCTGACCGCGCCATACGTGCACACTGAATAAAATATACAACAGATTCACGTGAAGTGAATTATTTGGATCAAGAAGGCAGAAGTGGTCCAGTCAAGCCCAATCTTCCTCTTGTTTATGCAGAAACACCTGTGAGAGAAACCATCCAGTTATCTATCTGCACTTATTACATCATGTCAGTTAGTCAATAACAAAATAGTCTGAATGCAATAAAACCCGAAATTAAAGAAGAGTTAAAAAAGGGACAAACCTTTAAAAGGCATTTAAAAATATAAACGTTCCCTCTTCGGTTTCCGCAAAATGTTTACTTCCAGACTGAAGTAACCTTGAGACTCTCCCTGTGTTTGTTCTGGCTGTGCTCCCTCAATAAGCTCTGCAGACAGACGTGTGTGAGAGGTTCTTTCATTTAGACGAGCAGCCACGCTGCAGCTTTGGCAGAGATCCCTCCCACTGCGTGTCTTTTCCCCTCCTCCTGCTCTCTTATTTCATTTGCTTTTCAACTTTTCTACGAAGACAGAGGCATTCCTTCCTGTAGCATGTGGCACATTTAACTCCCACAGTTCCCAGCGCCGCCCACAACCTTTAGCATGTCCACACCTCCTCTCTGTGTCTGCTGCCTCTAGACAGACTTTCACATGGTGTGTGTGTGTGTGTGTGTGTGTGTGTGTGTGTGTGTGTGTGTGTGTGTGTGTGTGTGTGTGTGTGTGTGTGTGTGTGTGTGTGTGTGTGTGTGTGTGTGTGTGTGTGTGTGTGTGCGTGCGTGTGTGTGTGCGTGCGTGTGTGTGGCCAGATGAATCAGGACGTGTACTGGAAGAGAAGGCCAATGGATCCTCCAGGCTCTGTTCCAAAGCTGACTTTTAAGTTGAAGAGTGCAGCGAGCCAACATTTACATCTAATTCTATTCTTTCACTGTGGATCCAAAAGAGACACTGAGAGCAAAGATATTTTAAACCGGGATGCACTTGACTACTGAATTTGAACACTGCTGTGATAAAGAAGACAACTTAAAATGTGAAAGAGCCATAAACTTCCTTTACTGTCAACTCGGCGTCAGTCATGACGGCCTCATGTCAAAATGGAAACATTGAAGCATTTTTACTACCTGAGATGAACAGCAACCCATATCTAATGGCTCTAATGAAGCTGCAACGTTTGTACTGTTTGGAAACTTTTTGGAAATCATTTTAAAATAAAACAATTTCACCAGCAGTGATAGCAATCACTAGTGTAGATCAAGCTTTATTATTTTTTATTTTTTATTGTTTGTGAATTGATTTGATTAAAATATGAAAAATGTAGTTAAGGGGATTAGTTACTTGGATTAGTTACTTTTTGGTTATAATTAATTTTATTTTTAAAAAATTTGCATTAGGTTGTAATTTGAGCCCCACATGACTGAGAAGCTAACAACTTTTTTTCTTGAAGGTGTGATTTACTTGTTTATTTAATATGTTTGCAGTGTTTTCTAGTGCAAATCTATGCCTTATATGTCATTTAAAAATATATGATGCTCCTGTTCTGAGATACAGACGGTTGCTGATGGGGAGGTGAGCTTGAAAACAGCAGGATTACTCATTATTATTAATGATATGCACAAACCTTGCTTCTGATTGGCTAACAGAACTCGTTCAGCCATGCCATGAAGTCACTATCACCAAGTTACTCTCCGCTCTCTTCCTCGTTGCAAAAAACTTTTTTAAAAATCCTTCTGGTGGGCGGGCTCAAGCCGAGACAGGTGAGGCTATGAATGCTAATTCACAGTGTGACATAGTTATGTGAGGTTTTTCAAATCCTAGCATCTCACCATCTATTTTCTATCAGAAGCTAATGCAGGAGATCAGTGTAGGAGACTGTTTTCATGTTCAGCCTGCATGAAAAACCCAGTGGCCTGATTATAATCAGAAATAATCATGAAAATGTCATTTTAGTCAATCACACCTTTAAATCCAGTGAGATGTTTTTTGATACGCTTTAACACTAAGGTTGTTTATGGTGTAATGGGAGAAAACCATAGCTGTTCCTCTACATCCAGAGTTTAAATCTGCCAAGTTTGGTTATTTATTTAGATTTCTGCTAAGTGTAATGCTAAATTAATCTCCATAAAAATGTTCTTATTCTTCTGCCATTTATTTGAACTTTCGATTTAAAAATATACATCCATAGACACCATAAGTTATGTGCCATGAAGCTCAGGAATTTTCAGCAGACAGTTTTAATCTTTGCTTGTAAAACCTTCTAATCTTTGTAATGACTAAGAGTGAGTCATTCTTTACTGGAAAAGGCATGCAAACACACACACACACACACACACACACACACACACACACAACGTGAAAGAGTCTTGGGCACATCTCGTATTTCTCTGAATTTTACTTCACATATAAGAAAATAACTCACACAGAAAAAAATCTCATACTGTGTATTAATGATTGTGTGTTTTAGCACATGTTACAGTAAAGCATGTTTACAATTCTGCTGATGAAGCAGCGTCATCCTTCCTTAAAGAGATTTTTCCATCTTTAAACATTGGGATGTTCTCATGAGTCGTCATTCTTTCCCACATAAGACAGCAGTCAGCATGATCAGCAAGAGGTTTGGGAATTCAGGGAGGTTTTCTCATAAACAATTTAGTACAAAAGCTTTTCAGAGAAAAGGCTCCAAAGACTTTCTTTTTGAGATTTCAACACAAACCTCCAAACACAAAGATGTCCTTCTGCATATATCAAAACTCAGAAGCTGGTCAGTACAACAGCAACAATTTAAAACTCTGAAACAAAGGCAGCATGTAAAAGTCAATGAAAACAAATCATGCTTCACTCATCAGCCCACAGTTCCTGTAAGAACATTCCTGCTTCTTCTGAGATCAAACTGACACAGTTTAGACATTAAATATTTATAAAGTAGTTCGAGCAACTCAGCCATGGCTCTGAAAGTAATATTCTACCAAAGCTGTTTCAGCTCCAGCTCACTAGCTAGATTACTCAAGATCATTGTCCCTTATTTGCTAATTTTAGTTTAATAATTTCCAGTTGTGCTGAAGTGGTTGGTGCACTGCCCTGAACTGCACACCATATTGCAATTTTCAGAATTAGTAAAAACTGGTTGCAGAAGATAACTAGCTGTTGTTTTTAAATCCTGATTGAAACGGAGTGTGTCGTATCACATTAACACAAGGTGTTATATTTTCACACAAAGCCATCTGTAAATTGAGCTTAAGGTAACATTAGGACATGAATTAATAAACTACTGTAGGTAAATGATGTCCTTGCTTCATCCTCCTCAAACATCTAAAAAAAGGGAGGGAGATCAAACATTTTCCAGAAGAGATGTGTTGACCTAATGACATGGTTCTGTGGTGGCTCTTTGTTTATGGAAAAAACAACCTTTTGGAGTCTTCTCTAGAGTCAGCCCTGGTCCAGCATGGGAACAGATTAAGTGAGAAGCTCTGAGTTTCTGCAACTTAAGGTACAATAGGTAAGAATTTCCATCCATCCATTTTCTGAACCCGCATTGTCCACGCAGGGTCGGGGTGAGGGGGGGTTGCCTATCTCTAGCGGTCAACGGGCAATCAGGCGGGGTACACCCTGGACAGAGAGCCAGTCCATCGCAGGGCAACACAGAGACACACAGGACAAACAATCACACACACACACACACCTCAGGACAATTTGGACAGACCAATTAACCTAACAGTCATGTTTTTGGACTGTGGGAGGAAGCCGGAGTACCCGGAGATAACCCACGCATGCACAGGGAGAACATGCAAACTCCATGCAGAAAGATTCCAGGCTGGGAAGCGAACCCAGGACCTTCTTGCTACAAGGCAACAGCTCTAACCACTGCTCCACTGCGCAGACACAGATAAGAATTTCACAGTGAAATTTTCAATCGTGCTGGAAGGAAGGTTACATTAAAACTGATTTATTTCTCTGCTGACTAGAGGGGTGTCCGGTTTTCTTCTTTTAAAAAGGCCAAAGAGGGACAGAGTCTTTTTTACAATCTGTCTCACCTCCATGTTTTCTGGTTCCAGAGCCAATCATATTTGATCCCATGGGGCCAGTAAACGCTGCTGTACCAGCACTTGTAATTTGACACCGGCCGACAAAGATCAGCAGCAATGTTAAAAGAATGTCAGCCCTGAGAAGGCTAGATGCTAATGTTGAGCAAACGATGCTAATGGTCTAATTTCCTCTAATTTCCCTCTGGGATTAACACAGTCTCTTTGACTGATTGATTGATTGATTGACTGATTGATTGATTGATTGATTGATTGATGATTGATTGATTGATTGATTGACTGATTGATTGATTTATTGATTGATTGATTGATTGATTGGTAATTTTGAAAAAGATAATCTTGTCTAAAATATGTCAGTTTACTTTTATCAGTTACCAACAAGTCGATATTACAGTGAAATATCTTCTAGAACTTCTGATGCTGACTCAGAAGATGCATCAGTTGCTCAGAGTAGGGTTGTGACTCACGATACTAAAATTTCAAACTCGATTCGATACTTGAACAAATACTCGATACTCGATTTCGATACTATTTAAAAACACCAATTTATTGAACAAGTTTATTCAAAAAATAACATTCTTCAATTTATATTGCAAAAATTAAATATAAGAATTAAGTGTATAAACTAAAGTGCTTAAAACTTTCAAGTAACAGCATTTTTTAAAAGTGCATACAAAAACTGACGAAAGTTAACATGAATTGTCTCAAATTAAATGTCTCATAAAATCTGTTTTCAATATGAAAATAAATCAACTAAAACTGGAAAAAAAGCATATTTAAACAACACTGTCTGTCAAACTTGTGCATTTAGAAAACACAAAATACTTAAAGTATAACCAATGAGGTCTTGAACACTCGATATGAATACCATAACATAAAATGGTAACAATAACATATGACTGTCAGTCATCAAATGTGCATTCAGAAAGCACATACATAAAACAGTTGAACAGGTAAAACTTTATTAACTCTAGACTATAGTTAAGTTTAAATCAGGATTGAGGTAAAGAGCAAAACCTCTACTCTTTGTCTAATGTGTCACTTTTTCCTGGATTTGCTTTGCCATATGGATATTTTTTGCAGTAAACACCAACATATCAATGTGCTCCTCTGTCAGTCTTGCCCTTCTTGGGGAGCAAATGAGCCCTGATGTACTGAAGATGCGCTCTGAGGCACAGCTTGAGGCAGCTATACAAAGATATTTTTTGGCCAACAAGGCCAGGTGAGGAAAGGTAGTGTGATTGGCTTTCCACCATGTTAGTGGATCATGCTCTGCCTGTACTTCTGGCATGGTTTGGTACAAAGTCAGCTCATTTTTCAGCTTGTACTCTGGCCTGTCACGATCTGCAGAAGTGATTTCAACTTCATGAGGTGCATCAGGGTGTTTCTTTTTCTCCCCTTGAATGTCAGACAACAATCCCTTCAAGTCAGTTTTTGATTTTTTTGCTGGCCGAGTCTCACATGGAGAAGCTACATTTTGAATATTTGAAATGCTTCTTAAGCTATCACAGAGGTGCTCCTTTACCTCATCTTTCAGTGTTGTGAAATTTAGCTTAAAACGTGAGTCAAGAAAGGTCGCAATGTTTAATAGCAACTGTAAGCGCCCATCCTGGTATCGAGTTTTTAGATCTTTGGCTATCAGTTCCTTCATTTGCCTTTTCAGGTGAGAGTCATCATCTTCTACAGTTAAAACTGAGAAAATCTTCCAGCAGAGAGGGAGCACAGAGGAAAGAGTGGTATGCGTTTCTCCACTGAGAGCATCAGTGAATGAGCTTAATGGGCCCAGCACTTCCTGTACAGTCTCTAAAGTTGTAATGTCTGTATCTTTAGGCATGAGGTGCCACTTTTTTCTGTTCTCTGCTAGAACTGCACACACAGCTTGTTGCTGCTCCAAAAATCGGTCCACCATTTCAAAGGATGAGCCCCAGCGTGTTGGCTCATCATGAATGAGACTGTGTTCAACTAACTGCAGCTCTTTTTGTTTGTTCTTAAGTAGTCTAACCATCTTTGGTGACCTGCTGAAGGCTGACACTGTTTTTCTAAGTCTGGATAATGTCGATGAGACCTTGTCTACCTCTAGACTTTTGCTGACTGCCAAATCCAGGTTGTGGCCAAAGCAAGGGATCCATAAAAAGTCCTGCTCAAAAGCCTTTTTATTATTGGAGGCATTGTCAGTTGTAAGGCCTGCCATTAGGTTAAGGTCCAGCTTCCAGGTATCCTGGATGACCTCCTCAAATGCCTCCCTGATGTTTTCGCCTGTGTGGTCAGAGTGAATTCCAACACAACCCAAACACCAGCTCGTCATCTCCCAAGAATCAGTAATGGATTGAATAGTCACAGCCATAAACGACTCTGATGCCCTACTGGTCCAGAGGTCGGTGGTGCATGAGTAAAATGGTTTACCCACAAACTGATTCAGTATAACATCTTTGATACTCTTGTACAGAGCAGGGATTTCACTGTACATGAAAAAATTGCGGGATGGAATGCTATACCTGGGATTAAGGTGCGTAACAAGCTGTTGGAAGCCAGGCTTCTCAACTGAATAAATGGGCACTTGATCCATACAAATATATTCAGCAACAAGTCTGTTCAGTTTTAGAGTCTCTGGGGACTTAGGTCCATATTTTCGTTGCTGATCAAATAGTGCAGGCAATGTCGGCTGGAATGGCTTGTTTGTGGATGTCAACTGTTTCTCTGCATCAGCCTGAGCCTGGTTGTAGAAATGAAACAAAAACAATTTTAATGCATATCGAGTCAAATGTCAATTAAAAAAAAAAGTTCTTTCTGCAGTCTGCACCAACAAAGTTGAGCTCAGCTGTAGTTTAACTTAAAAAAGAAGCAGCAATTTTCACGCTTTCTGGTCTACAACAGTAATCACTTAGACATGCTACTGCAAATATCAACATGGAACACATTTGTGTGTTTCCAATTTTAACATTTTCCATCATTAAGCACCAAGTGGGGATTGTGCTCAGATTAAAACTAAAATGACACGAGAACCCAAATTTTTCATTCAGTCTGTAAATCCCTTCAAAAATTAAAATTAAATGCCATGAAATTCCTCATATCAGTGTTTTTGAATTAATTGTTATTTTCCATCTATTTTAATTTTATGAATTATGTTGTGTTCTTTGTTTATATTTGCAGAGTGATGTTTTGCTGCTTAAACTCTGTTTAAGTTGCATTTTTGTCATAAGCTGTAATGCCATATGTTTTGTTCTGTACTTTTGAACAACTCTGTTGGTCAATAAAGGGAGAAAACGAATTTCGCCACGGTAGGTACATCTAATCTTAATGAAAACAGATTGGCGCACGGCAGTGACGTCATTAAAAGCGCCGGCTAGATTAGCCGCGGCTAGTCTGTTTACGCCTAGAAATCCCAGACCCGCTCCAAACGAACAGGGGAATCACGTTAATGATTCCTAACAAAACCTTTCGACATGAAGATGTTTTGGTGCAGATAATGTCTTATTTCGAGGCTGCACCATGGGTGCCCGTCCGCACCCGTTATATGGATATACGCTGACGGCGATTCGCCGATGGATCTAAATACCCCGGGGAATCCAAGTAGCACCAAAGTTGTCAGCGTGAGTAAACAAACGTACTGCATGCTAGAAATTAAGTCCGGGTTGCAATAAACGGGAGTTTCCTTTAAGCACATAAGCGTGAATATACAACTACGTGTCGGACTTGGTATGCTAGCTTAGCTAATACTAATACGTGAGCTCAAATTTGTTGGTGCAATTAGACACAGTCTTACTAGATTTAATAAATTTTAGACACCTGTTTCATTTCGTCATGCAGTTTGGGGTGTCGGTCTCTCAGATGCTTGGCCAAATTTGTTGTGCTGCTGGACTTCGTAGCGATCTCTTTGTAGCACTCCTTGCAAACGGGCCTGTCATGGTCTGTTGCTTTCCCCGACTCATCAGCCTTGTATCCAAAGTGTTTCCACACTGCACTTTTGCTCTTTGTGTTGTTCACTAAGTTGGGCTGTGAAGCGCCTCCCGAATTCGCTGTTGCCATTGTTCACAAAACAAAACGGAGACCACTCGCGCGGGAAATAGCAGTGTCGTCATGCGGCGTCTTCTTCTTCTGTTTGTCTGGGAGGCGGAGGCTGCTTTACGGCACCTGGCTGTCGTGCGTGTCGGTGTACTTGAAGAAGGCTGTGTATAATAGTCCATAATATCGATACCACAGGGATGGAATATCTAATTTGGATACCACTTTTAATATTGATTTATATCTAGGTATCGATTTTTTTGACAACACTAGCTCAGAGTGGACTCATTGGTTTTGACAGATGGACTGCAGTACGGGTGGCAGACCAAGGCGGGAGCCTTGGCGGTCCAATCCCCGGACAAGAAAAGTAGTTTTTGGGACATGGAACGTCACCTCGCTGGCGGAGAAGGAGCCGGAGCTTGTGGCAGAGGTTGAGCGGTACCGGCTAGATATAGTCGGACTCACCTCGACACATTGCATTGGCTCTGGAACCCGAGACCTGGAGAGGGGTTGGACACTCTACTTTGCTGGAGTTGCTCCGGGTGAGAGGCGGAGGGCTGGGGTTGGCTTTTTGTTAGCTCCGAGACTCTCTGCCTGTGTGTTGGGGTTTACCCCGGGGGACAAGAGGGTAGCTTCCTTGCGCCTTCGGGTCGGGGAACGGGTCCTGACTGTTGTTTGTGCTTATGGGCCAAATATCAGTTCAGAGTACCCACCCTTTTTGGAGTCCCTGGGACGAGTGCTAGATAGTGCTCCATCAGGGGACTCCATTGTCCTGCTGGGGGACTTCAATGCTCACGTGGGCAATGACAGCTTGACCTGGAGGGGTGTGATTGGGAGGAACGGCCCACCTAATCTGAACTCGAGCGGTGTTTTGTTATTGGACTTCTGTGCAAGCCGCAGTTTGGCCATAACGAACACCATGTTCGAACATAAGGATGCCCACCGGTACACTTGGTACCAGGGCAGCCTAGGTCACAGGTCGATGATAGATTTTGTAGTCGTATCATCTGACCTGCGGCCGTATGTTTTGGACACCCGAGTGAAGAGAGGGGCGGAGCTGTCAACTGATCACCACCTGGTGGTGAGTTGGATCAGATGGCAAGGGAACATGCCGCGTAGACCTGGCAGACCCAAACGCATAGTGAGGGTCTGCTGGGAACGCCTGGCAGAAGAACCTGTCAAGACGGTCTTCAACTCCCACCTCCAGCAGAGCTTTGACCACGTCCCGAGAGCAGTGGGGGACATTGAGTCCGAGTGGGCCTTGTTCCACTCTGCGATTGTCGAGGCGGCTGTTGCTAGCTGTGGCCGTAAGGTGGCCGGTGCCAGTCGTGGTGGCAACCCCCGTACCCGCTGGTGGACACCAGAGGTTCGGGGAGCCGTCAGGCTGAAGAAGGAGGCCTACAGGGCGTGGCTGGTCTGTGGGTCTCCGGAGGCAGCAGACAGGTACCGGATAGCCAAGCGGGGTGCAGCAGTGGCAGTTGCCGAGGCAAAATCTCGGGCGTGGGAGGAGTTTGGTGAGGCCATGGAGAAAGACTATCGATCGGCTCCAAAGAGGTTCTGGCAAACTGTCCGGCGCCTCAGGAGAGGAAGGCAGCAACTCGCTCACACTGTTTACAGTGGGGATGGGGAGCTGCTGACGTCAACTGAGGCTATAGTCGGACGGTGGAAGGAATACTTTGAGGAGCTCCTCAATCCCACCAATGCGCATTCCGAGGAGGAACCAGAGCTGGGAGGCCTGGGGATGGACTGTCCGATCTCGGGGGCAGAAGTTGCTGAGGTAGTCAAACAACTACACAGCGGCGGAGCCCCGGGGGCGGATGAGGTTCGTCCTGGGTATCTCAAGGCTATGGATGTTGTAGGGCTGTCATGGTTGACACGTCTCTACAACATTGCGTGGTCATCGGGGGCAGTTCCTAGGGAGTGGCAGACCGGGGTGGTGGTCCCCATCTTTAAGAAGGGTGACCTGAGGGTGTGTTCCAACTATAGGGGGATCACACTCCTCAGCCTCCCTGGAAAGGTCTACGCCAAGGTACTGGAGAGGAGGGTCCGATCGATAGTTGAATCTCAGATAGAGGAGGAGCAATGTGGTTTTCGTCCTGGCCGTGGAACTGTGGACCAGCTCTATACCCTTGCAAGGGTGATGGAGGGGGCATGGGAGTTTGCCCAACCAATCCACATGTGTTTTGTGGATTTGGAGAAGGCTTATGACCGTGTCCCCAGGGGCACCCTGTGGGGGACACTCCAGGAGTATGGGGTGGGTGGCTTTCTGTTAAGGGCCATTCAGTCCCTTTACCAGAGGAGCGTGAGTTTGGTCCGCATAGCCGGTAGTAAGTCGGACCTGTTCCCAGTGAGGGTTGGACTCCGCCAGGGCTGCCCTTTGTCACCGGTTCTGTTCATCACTTTTATGGACAGAATTTCTAGACGCAGCCGTGGTGTGGAGTGTGTCGAGTTTGGTGGCAGGAGAATCTCGTCTCTGCTTTTTGCGGATGATGTGGTCCTCCTAGCTTCATCCAGCTCTGACCTTCAGCTCTTGCTGGGTAGGTTCGCGGCCGAATGTGAAGCGGCTGGGATGAGGATCAGCACCTCCAAATCTGAGACCATGGTTCTCGACCGGAAAAGGGTGGCTTGCCAACTCCGGGTCGGGGGAGAGGTCCTACCTCAAGTGGAGGAGTTTAAGTATCTCGGGGTCTTGTTCACGAGTGAGGGTAGGAGGGATCGGGAGATCGACAGGCGGATTGGTTCGGCGTCTGCAGTGATGCGGACGCTGAGCCGATCTGTCGTGGGGAAGAGGGAGCTGAGCCAGAAAGCCAGGCTCTCGATTTACCGGTCGATCTACGTCCCAATCCTCACCTATGGTCATGAGCTTTGGGTAATGACCGAAAGAACGAGATCGCGGATACAAGCGGCCGAAATGAGTTTCCTCCGTAGGGTGGCCGGGCTCAGCCTTAGAGATAGGGTGAGGAGCTCGGACATTCGGGAGGGACTCGGAGTAGAACCGCTGCTCCTCCGGATCGAAAGGAGCCAGTTGAGGTGGTTTGGGCATCTGGTCAGGATGCCTCCTGGACGCCTCCCCGGGGAGGTGTTTCGGGCATGTCCTGCCGGCAGAAGGCCCCCGGGTCGACCCAGGACACGTTGGAGAGGTTACATCTCCAATCTGGTCCGGGAATGCCTTGGGGTCCTGCCGGAGGAGCTGGTGGACAAGGCCGGGGAGAGGACGGCCTGGAGCTCCCTAGTTGGGATGCTGCCCCCGCGACCCGGACCCGGATAAGCGGAGGAAGACGAGACGAGACGAGACGAGGCTTATGACCGTGTCCCCAGGGGCACCCTGTGGGGGACGCTCCAGGAGTATGGGGTGGGTGGCTTTCTGTTAAGGGCCATTCAGTCCCTTTACCAGAGGAGCGTGAGTTTGGTCCACATAGCCGGTAGTAAGTCGGACCTGTTCCCAGTGAGGGTTGGACTCCGCCAGGGCTGCCCTTTGTCACCGGTTCTGTTCATCACTTTTATGGACAGAATTTCTAGACGCAGCCGTGGTGTGGAGTGTGTCGAGTTTGGTGGCAGGAGAATCTCGTCTCTGCTTTTTGCGGATGATGTGGTCCTCCTAGCTTCATCCAGCTCTGACCTTCAGCTCTTGCTGGGTAGGTTCGCGGCCGAATGTGAAGCGGCTGGGATGAGGATCAGCACCTCCAAATCTGAGACCATGGTTCTCGACCGGAAAAGGGTGGCTTGCCACCTCCGGGTCGGGGGAGAGGTCCTACCTCAAGTGGAGGAGTTTAAGTATCTCGGGGTCTTGTTCACGAGTGAGGGTAGGAGGGATCGGGAGATCGACAGGCGGATTGGTTCGGCATCTGCAGTGATGCGGACGCTGAGCCGATCTGTCGTGGGGAAGAGGGAGCTGAGCCAGAAAGCCAGGCTCTCGATTTACCGGTCGATCTACGTCCCAATCCTCACCTATGGTCATGAGCTTTGGGTAATGACCGAAAGAACGAGATCGCGGATACAAGCGGCCGAAATGAGTTTCCTCCGTAGGGTGGCCGGGCTCAGCCTTAGAGATAGGGTGAGGAGCTCGGACATTCGGGAGGGACTCGGAGTAGAACCGCTGCTCCTCCGGATCGAAAGGAGCCAGTTGAGGTGGTTTGGGCATCTGGTCAGGATGCCTCCTGGACGCCTCCCCGGGGAGGTGTTTCGGGCATGTCCTGCTGGCAGAAGGCCCCCGGGTCGACCCAGGACACGTTGGAGAGGTTACATCTCCAATCTGGTCCGGGAACGCCTTGGGGTCCTGCCGGAGGAGCTGGTGGACAAGGCCGGGGAGAGGACGGCCTGGAGCTCCCTAATTGGGATGCTGCCCCCGCGACCCGGACCCGGATAAGCGGAGGAAGACGACGACGACGGACTGCAGTACCCAGATTTGGCCACAGGATGTCCTTCTTACTCCATCCATCAAAGTCAGCATATCTTTCATACCCATCAGAAGCTGGGGTTAGGTTTGTGAGCTGTTTCGTGTGTTTACGTGCGTACGTGCTCCTCCATGTACACACACACACACACACACACATATACACACACACACACATACACACACATGCGTGTATGTGTGTGTTGGTAGAGATCAGATGAGACACATTTTTATTTTCAAGCCATCGTAGAGTCCACTAAAAATAGAGTTTAGTTCACATGTTCTACTTGAAAATGTTTCATGAATATACAATGAGGATTTCATTCTCAACATGTTTTTCACAGGAAAATACGCTTTGAGCACATTAGTAAATATCTTTTTGCCCGTGAGGAAAATCAGTATCAAGCCTTTACAGCTTTTTGTTTACATACTTCACATGAAACCTACTATCAGTATTTCTGTGAATCTAAAGTCTGGTGCTACTCAAATTTCAATTCAAACTCATGCCCTCTGTAAGTCTGGTCCTTCATTCAAATGCAATCTTTAGATTGTGATTACTTAATTTTTAGCAATGTTAAAACTCAGGCGAAACACGTTTGTGTTGAATGTGTTATTGTATTCAATCCATGCTTCATGTTTTAAATAACAAGAGCACTCTATGTGCGATGGTGCGTGTGTTTTAGGGGACCACTATGTCTTGGATGATGCATTCATCTGTGTATTTGAGGATTTTTACCCACAGAAAGCCGGCCGTGCCTGGCAGGGCTGCAGATGGAGCATCCGGGATGGCCTGAAGTGATAACCCACTCATGTGACTTCAGAGGACATGACTACACTTAATGAGGAGAGTTTCTTGCATAACCATACCCTGTACTCTACACCTCTTTAACTCACACACCGCTCCTCAACCACATTACCATCCTGTTTTCATGTATTAGCACATTGATCTGTTGAGTGTTTAAGTAAGGAATCATACATTTCTGAGTGACTCTGGAGTACTTTGAGATTCTTATGCAAATAAATTAAATGTCTGAAAGAATACTGAAGGTCATGAAGAAAGTTTTTTTTATTTATTATCCCTCGTTTCCAAGAGAACTGTCAATCTGAGTATGCGCAGTAGTCGTAATGTTTCAGCTATCAAATTAATATTATCTCACATTTGATAAGCATCACAATTAAGTCCTGTCATCTCAGATTTGTCATTCAGTTCATTCATTCTTGCAAAGGACAAATTAAGCCTTTGTGTTCATGATCTGCTTCCACAAAATGCTTCATCTTGTCTAGTTCACTTTAGAAGTTTCTCTTCTCAACTTGTTTCATTACTTTGATTAAAGTTATCTTGGTGGTGCACTCGCTGTGGCTGCACTTGAACCTGTCACAGTGTAAAATGTGGGTGTCATATTTTGCCTTGTTTTCAGTTATTTATTTTTTTGTTCTGTGCGTTTTCTGTTTATGTTTCACGCATTTGCTACTCGTCTGGTGATAAACCCCCGTTTGTCAGGTTGAGCGCGAGAGGAGGTTAGGACCCAAGGTCCAGAACACCAGACAACGAGAGGCAGGAGCGAATGTAAAATGTAAAATCCTTTATTTAGGGTGATAACCAAAAAATCCGAAGGGGCAGGAGGTCACAACCTAATAGCAAAACTCTGACAAAAACCAAAAGCTCACTTTCTGAGCAGAGACCTCGAGACCTAGTGGGGTGGGGGGCAAAACAACGCTGACAAACAACAATGAACCGACACACATACAGTGACGAGGCAGGGTTATATACACAGGGGCTGGGTGATTGGGAGACACGGAGCAGGTGCGTGGGAGAGAGAACTGAGGAGAGAACGGTGAGATCAGTTAACTAAGGCCCTGTCCACACGTAGCCGGGGATCTGCCAAAACGTAGATATTTTTCTACGTTTTGGCCTGCCATCCACACGAAAACGGATCTTTTTAAAAACTCCGGCCAAAGTGAAGATCTGCGTTTTCTCCGTTTTGGGTGTCTGCATGTGGACAGACAAAACCGGAGTTTTAAGGTCCGCAACGTCACTTTCCGCGACAAAAAATGCTGACATCACGTGTGCGACCTGTGTTTACACTAGCCGACAGCATGGATGCCCTCAGAGCTGTGCTCGCTTTATCAATTGTCCAAGCGCTTTTTGCTTGTTTGTTTTTGCAAGCGGAATTACTGCTCCTTGCGGAAGACCACAGACGAAGGACGAGGTTAAGAACGGGGGAAGTACTGCCACCTACAGGTCTGGCATGTCCTTAACAACGTATTTATCCCGGTACGTATGGACAGAGTTTTTTTTTTAAACGAGGTGGTGTGCGGATATTCGTTTTTAACAAAACCCGGCTACGTGTGGACTAGGGGGCGATGGTGGCACAGGAGTTAAGCGCTCGCCCCGTAATCGAAAGGTTGCAGGTTCGAGCCCCACTCAGTCTGTCGCTGTCGTTGTGTCCTTGGGCAAGACACTTAACCCACGTTGCCTGCTGGTGGTGGTCAGAGGGACCGGTGGCGCCAGTGCTCGGCAGCCTCGCCTCTGTCAGTGCGCCCCAGGGCAGCTGTGGCTACATTGTAGCTCATCCCCACCAGTGTGTGAATGAGTGTGTGTGAATGGGTGAATGACTGATTGTGTTGTAAAGCGCCTTGGGGGGTTCCAGGACTCTAGAAGGCGCTATATCAAATACAGGCCATTTACCATAAATGGGAAGGGAAAACCAAGCAGAGGAGGGGATAAACACACACACAAAAGTAGACTAATAAAAAGAAAATCTGAACCTATAGAAAACAGAGGAGTGACTAGGAGAGACCTGAGGGAAACCAGGAGGGAGAACCGGAGAGGGCTGGGGACCCAAAGGACACAGAACCTGCTAGGAGGGGAAACATGAGGGAAACCTGGAAGAGGCTGGGGACCACGAGGACACAGAACATGACCCAGTTTGTTTAATCAGTAATAAGCCCTCCCAGCTGAAATACTCCTCTGCTTCTCTTCATGAGCTGCTTGCATTTCTTGATTTTTTTTAAACACAGAAAAGAAAAGTAGTTCTTTACTTTGTTTGCTAACTTTTCAGCTACTTCCTGTAGCCATCCTCAAAGCTGTGGCGATGTTGGTGGCATCACTTCCTTGTCCGTTTATCTGCAGGCAGCAAAGGACGTCGTCGCTCTCTGCTGCCCGCGTTCTCCTGGTTTTGTGTCTTTGTCTCCTTATTTCCCTGGCCTCCTTAATCAGTCTGTTGTATTTTAGTTGTTAGGTGTTTATGATCCTGTTTCTGTTATGTGTTTATGAGGGGGACGCAGTCCTCTGATGCCCACATAAAAAGATCTGAGAAGGAAGTGACGCTCTGATGCATCGTCACAGCTCTGAGGATGGCTACAGGAAGTTGCCAAAATGTTGCAAACAAGGTAAAGAAGAACTTTTCTTTTCTGTGTTTAAAAAGAACCAATAAATGCAAGCTGAACAGATAGACAGAATAAATGTACAGATGAAAGCTGCTTGGTTGCCTTTGCTGCTGCTTGATCGGCTTGAGGAAATTGCTTTATTACCCTGATGTGACCAATAACATCCAAGGGAGAAATATATGAACATTTTTTAAGTTCATAGTTAATTTCACTTTTTTATTATGTAGAAAAATACTAATACACAAATGCAATATCAAGTTTCTATTTTTACTCATGTTGTTGAGTAAAAGGAGCTAATTTTACATAGCACACAGTTGCATAGCTGTAAAGGCAAAAATAGGGTTAAAACAATTTTCTGCACATGAATAAAAAAACAAATCGAGAATGAAAGCAATGTATGTGTATGCTAAATGTTTGAAATTGAGTTGTAATTCTCTTAACAGCCACACTGTGCTTTTGTGTTCACCGTCACATGGTTCTGTTTCCATGCAGCACCACATTTTATCATTGTGTAATTGTCAATCTACAGGAAATGAAAACGAATGTGTTGCTTTTATGATACACAGCAGCGTGTGGTTCTGCAAACACGGAAACAGAACTACTGTCACTCCAGAGAAGAGACGTGACTTTATTCGGAGATTTTTTTTTATTTGTGTTCCAGTGGTTGGTTGAAGAGTTTGCCAACTCATTTTAGAAAAGAAAAAAACATTTCATGTATGCAAGTCATTCAGGTGAAACAGAAATTTTTAGTTTTGAGGAAAAGAATGTAGAAATGTAAAGCATTATCATGAATATAAAGTATTATTGAATGAAAGCATAAATCACAAACACATATTAATATGGAATTATTACGTTTTTTTCCCCCAATTAAAGGAAAAAAGCTGAAATTCTGATGTACATGAGTCTTGTCTGGGTGACATTGTCCTCAGAACTTTATTTGTCTCCAGCTTATCGTTGAAAATCCTGGTGCAGGTTATTTACAAAGGGAAGAAGATGATTGTCTTTAAATATGTAAAACAAAAAAATATACAATTTCCTTAGTTGTCTTGACCAAATGCATCCTCTGCTGTTTCACTTCCCATCCTGGTTGATGTGCTTTCGATCCTCTGCAACACTCAGTCATTTATCCCAGAAGAAATTGGTAATGCAAACTTTCTCTTGTTCTGGAACCAAATGAAATCAGTGCATGTTTGTGTTTTTAATTGTTTTAACTCCATGTGAAAATCCTGTCTTCTCTTAATGTTTGTGATGATGACCTGCAAAAGAAAACAGAAAAATCAAGGTGTTCTACTGTGTCATGATGTTAAAACCTCAATGGAAATTTGATGATACAACTTAAATTTCACATATTCTGCATCACTTTACATTTTGAACTATTACAGTTTTCAAAAGACAATTCTAGGTTGTTTGACTGAATGATCAAACCACATTGTAGTCTTTTATTGAAGCAATGAATAACAAACGGCCTAAACTGAGGCTAAATTTTTTAAACTGGTGCAGACTTTAACCCTCCCACTGTCTTTATGGGTGACCCCGTGAGGAAAGTTGACCATTGAGCAGGATTGATGTTTTATCCCTTGAGGTCCATGTGACAGGGGTGAGGTGGTGCTCACTCCTCACCCCTGTCACATGGACCCCAGGGACAAACCATCAACCCAGCTCAATGGCCAACTTTCCTGGCGAGGCCACACCCATTAGGACAGTGGGAGGGTTAAATGGTTATTGTTATGGGAATGAGCCATTCGAAATAAATGAAATGACAAAAAAAATTCACCTAATATGCTTTATTCTACTCCTTTAAAAGTTAGTCAGTCAGTTAGTTAATTAGTTAGTTAGTTTTGTGGTAAAAAGGTCAAGAACAGATTGTAATTCAAAAGGTTGATTAACAAAAGAGCATTAAAAATAATTTTAGAAGTCAGAATATCATAAAATGTAGCTTCAATAAACCATTTTACACTTGTGGTTAACCAAATCTAATTTTTCTTGCTAAATTAAAAGCAAACAAACTGTAATTTGGAACAACAGATGAGTCTGTCAACCCAAGAAGCATGTACGGCTGCTTGCATTTTTATTCTGGATTGTACATATGAAATGAAGACAGCTTCATCCTTGATTTTTCTCACCTCATAGCTGAGCACTCTGGGTCTCAGAGTTGAGTGGTACAGAGGCACAGTGATTATCCAGTAGCAGCATGAAGACACTTTGAAAAACTCTGCAGGTCTGTAACAGGGACTTGGAGATTTCTTCTGTGTTTAGAGTTGCTTCTAATTTGACGACCCAACAGGGTGGGAGCAAGCGGTGATGAGCTGTGGTCCCCTGAGCCTCAAACAAAGATTTTTGTTTTCCAGTCTGTAAATTCTTCTGGTATTTTTAGCAGATATCCAAGAATAATTAGTGGGAAAAAATCTATTTGAGACCAATTAGATTGATGTAAAAGCACACATGTAAAAAAATAGGATCAAAACACTTTTTATGTTTTTCATTAAACCCTGGAATGTTTAGTATTTTTTTACTATTTTTAATATCTAACTAAAAGCTCCACCACCCACCCCACCCATGCTGTTGTTACCATGTGATCTAAAAGAATGTGACGTTTCAGAGGTTTATTTTAAATAGGACAGCTTTAAATAAGTTACATAAAAAAATTAAACAAAACTCATTCAAGTTTTCTTTCAAAATTATTTATTTTCTGCCCATTATTGTTTGTGCATTTTAATTCTGCTGGCAAGAATAAAAACTAGCAATAAAAATAATGTTTTTATTTTATTTTCACTTCCCAATGTTCTATTTCTTTAAAAGCAATTGTTTTCCAGTTCCTGTGTTTGGCATTCTCATTTCTTTTCATTTGCACTCTGTTTTGGACTCCTGCACCTGAACTTGGTGTTATATTAAATGATTATCCACAGTAATCAAATATATAAGCTCCTGAGCAATCCTCCTCGGATTTCACGCAGGCCAAAAACAAAATAACCAACATGAGGAGCTTAACGAATGATTAATCCACGAAGAAACAGCAGAATAATGAAGCCGCTCACAGATGCTGATGTATGTGCAGAATGCATGCACATGCAGACACATGTGCAGTAAAATGCACAGATGTTAAGCTGATGGTTACTGGAATGAGTTCAAACCGCATGCCTCCCCACGGATTTCTGCATGCCATGAAAACCGGATCACATGACCGACATGGGCTATAGTCATCATTGTTCAGTGTTTTGATGATAAAGAAAAGGTGTAAAGAAATTCCTGTTATTTAGATTTTCACTCCTGTTCATTCATCCCTATCAGCAGCTGCTAGAGTCTTGTTCTAGCACGTTTCCATGGTTTAGATCATGAACACAACTGATTTATTTGATTTAGTGTTGAATCGCTCCTGTAGACACTAATGAAGACTGGGGAGATATTTCAGCTGTTAGATTAAGGTGTTAGAAGGACTAACGCACAGCCAGGAGATACGTCTTTGGTTTCCTTAACTGAACACTAGGAGGTGCTAAAAGCAAGCCAAGGTTACCAAGATAGTATTTTAAAAAAAATACTTTTTCGAATCCCCAATAACACACCAAATAGTATGTCTGTAAAAAGTTTGTAATTAATTTTTAATGTGTGTGTGTGGGTCAGAGATGGGGGTCATGGCTTCTCTTAGACACAGGCAAAGGTTAAAAGGAAAATATAGGGAGATCCAACATTCCGGAAACAGTAATGTAATGGATGTTCAATCTGTGCAGATCAAGCCAACAGACGTTCAGAGTCTAAATCCAGCATTATCAAGATATCTGCTGCAACGAGGTTAAAGCCTTAAACCTCTGAGTTTTACGTCTAAGTGATGCAGCCTTAGATCTCATGATGGTTTCTGATTCCATTCAGATCAAGGTATGAGTGGGTCTACTCATGACCTTTTGTTGAGCCTGGTGTAACCAGCACTGACTGGATTTATATAACAGCTGCTTGGCTTGCATAACCCGCTGACCAATGGCGGGCATGATTTTGTTATTCTGAGGCAAAGTCAACTTTTATGCCTGTTGTAAACAATGTAATAATAATAATAATTTGGCTGTAGGACCTGTGCTCATTAGGATAATGTTGGAGCCTAAAATAGAAATCCCTGCCACAGAGAGAGTTTTAGACCTTTAAAGGGCAAACATAAGGACATGTTCTTCTGAACATGCTCTCAGTTTTTGCAGAGAAAAAAAACTTTAACTAAATCATAGTTATGTGTAATCACTGAATATAAAAAGGCCAGACGCAAAGTTCACCCCCAAAAAAACTAAGAGGACCTTTTTGACTTGTATATGTCTTGGTTTCAAGTTGCATACATTTCATTTACAGTAAATGTCTTCTTCCTTCCAAAGCAATTATTCTAGGCTAGAATTAAAAAGTGTGAATGTATTTTGGACTAATTGCACATATGTCTTAGGGCTTTTAATTTGGTAATTTTGAGAAAATTTTAGTAGCTTCAATTTGAAATCTTTTTTTTTGTTTGTTTGTTTTGCGTACATTTGTTTTTTGTTTGCTTTTGTCCAGTTTATTGCATAGCTGAAAGGAGCAAAATACATCGCTAACACATGTGATCAAAAGGGTCTCCTCAACTTTAGCTGTTGCTCATGCAAACCTCCCTGGAAAGGCTCCACATCTCCCAACTGCAAAACCATTTCACCTGTGTTGCTCAGATTGAGGCTATTTACATGGTGACTGAAGGAAAAAACCAAGATGCTGCATGTTTTCAGCTCTGCTGTGTCAGAAGGCACAGGCACAGACCACAGCCACCACCACTATGTTGCCAATGGTCGCCAGCACAGCAATCCACAGCCAAATGGTGTCACTGGACACTTTCCCATCATCCTCTGCTTCAGAAGGTCGTGAATAGCTTGCGTTGAGGTTGGACGTAGATGTCTGCAGGGACGCGTTGCCGTTGTATGGAGAATCCATGAAGGCCCCACTTACAGCTGGAGAATGTTGCTAAACAAGGTGAAAAGAGGAGGAGAGAAATTAGTTCGTGCCTGCTGTTGAAACCACAGCCAGTATCCTACTGGGATGTGTAGTCCTGTGTTCCTGTGAAGTGAAAAAGGGCAAAAAGTCAAATTTGGGTGAAATGGTAACAACAATGGCTCAGGAGGCTACAGCACAGCTGTGGCTGCTCTCAGGGCAGCTGCATCTCAAGAGGATTAACCCTCAGAAAGATAAACAAAGTCTGCTGCATGTTTCATGGACAGTTTTTGATTTAAAAACACACAAAGGGAAACGAAAGGTGAGGCTGATAAAACAAGTCTGGGCCTCTCTGCTTAGGCTGCTGCCCCCGCGACCCAGACCCCGGATAAGCGGCCGAAAATGGATGGAGATATTTGTTATTATCAAAACCATGAAGCTGCAACACGTTTTGTTCTTTCCCAGATGAGTTTGCCCCAAATGCTTCTCTTCTTCGTCCTCCTCTCCCCCGTCTGTACACCCAAACAACAGATGTGGCTTCAGGGCAAATTCTCACTCAGAAATTCTTCAAGAAGCTTAAAATGAAAAAAAAAATAAATAAAATAAATAAATAAAACTCACTTTTATCATCACTGAATAATTTAAGAGAAACCCAAATATATTTCCAGTCCAAATCATTATGTAGCACTTACCATCAAGTATTTATTTGTGGACTTGACAATTCCACCTGAAGACCTCAAAGAAGAATCTCATTAAAATTAATTAGAAGAGTTTTTTTTCAGGAGTTGTTTTATTTATTTTGTTTATGTGACTTTATGTTTCTATTCTATCAAACTTCAGAGGCTTATCACTGATTTACAATGAGTTGTTTTTCACAGATTACCTAAAGAGGGAGCTAATGAAGGAAGACTGGATCAGATTTCTCTCCCAAAAGCCTCTCTATAGCCCAATCCCAATACTCGCACTGCACCCTGCGCTATTCAGCAAAGTGCACTTGGAGGAAATGTGCAGTAAAGCTTCGAGTGCGTGGTACACAACTGTGCAAATAATTGTCAAATTGAGACAGGGAGCATTGCGTCATCAATCGCAACACATGCTGGTTGCTGTGATACTTTTTTAAACAACTTTCAAACAAACAATCAAATAAATATTTGAAATATTTTTTTGTCATTGCTGTTTTGTCTAAAAGTTTTAGAGCATCAACTGATCGTCCTAAAAAAGAACTTGAGCCTATTTTCCCCCAGCAATGGATTGTGGGTAATACACCTCACCCAAGTTTTCATCGATGCATCTTGCAGTGCGTTTACATGCAGCCAGTAACCCTTTTAAAACCCGAATATTCAAAATAACCCGGTTCCGCATGGCCATGTAAACACCTCCAAAAACTCGGAAATGCTCATAACCGGGTTTTTAAAAACCCGGTTACTACACCTGGGGTAACCCTTTTCTAACCCAAATGTTTGGTCGTGTAAACGCATATCGGGATATCCCCATCAACGCGTGTGTTCTGCGCATGCTCTGTTCGCAAGGAATCTTGGTCTTTTGAGTAGCGAGACGTCTTGTATGCGCCAGAACACCGGAAGTAAACAACAAGTTGGGAGCAACATGGCGAGTCGCGGCACAGCACCACACTTTTGGAGTGACGAGGAAACTAAAGCGCAAACAAACGCGGTCGCTATCTCTTCTGAACTGGGAAAAATGTTGTTGTTTTCACGGATACCGGAACAAGAAGAACCGAAAATGACGCATATTGCGTCTGGACGTAGTCCATACGTCCTGACGCTACCCCAACGTCCGCATTTAAATCGGGTTATGCAAGTTAGAGGTAACTCTTTCTATTTATGCTTGTAAACGGGTTATTCTGATCAACTCAGAAACCCGAATACCGACCTTAACCCGATCATAACCCGGATATTGGCTGCATGTAAACGTATTGTTGGGTGAAGTGTGGATCAATGGCGTAAAATGGGCGTGATCAACTTCCGCACTTCGAGACACCTTATGCACTCGCACCGCTGGTCGGGTTCGCAGAATCAAAGGGCGCAAGTGTGGTATTGGGATCAGGTCTTTGGGATGTGTTGGCTTGTATAAAAAAATGTTAGAGGTCAACTAAAACAGCAACACTTACAATAACACTGACTGTTTTTTGTTCAATCCTTTAAATCTTTAATCATCTGTGTAAGCCTCATTGGGGAATGATGTTTCATTTGAAAGGGAAGACCCATTCCTCATGTAAATAACAGCTTGATAATTAACAGTCTTACACTTCTAAACAACTCTAGACTTTAGAAGTCATTGTAACTTCAGTAGAGTAAAACCTCCTGCTGGCAGGACTTGTCTGAAACAACTCCCTTGGGAGTCGTCCAGGAGGCATTCTGACCAAATGATCAAACCACAGCTGGCTACTCTCGGCGTGGAGGAGCATTTGCTTGATTCTTTCCTGGACGTCCAACCTCCTCACCCTATCCCCAAGGCTTGTTTCTATAGGAATTAGCTCAAAGTTTCTGGCCGGAGGTGAGGATTGATCGGTCAATTGAGAGCTTTGCTTTGTGGATTAGTTCCCTCTTCATCACATCAAGGCCTCAATCCAGCTTTGATCTCTCGCTCCCTCCTTTCCTATTTCATTAACTAGACCCCAAGTTACTTAAGCTCCTCTAATTGAGGTAGGACATCTCCCCAGACCTGGTGTTGGCAATCCAAGCTTTTTCCGGTCAAGAACCATGGCATCTGAAGACTTGAAGGTCAAAGTTTGATGGAGCTAAAAGGACCACATAACCTGCAAGAAACAGAGATTAAATCCCGCTGCTACCTAACTCTACACCCTCCATCTCATGGCTAGGCCTAGAAATCCTGTCCACAAAGGTAATGAACTGGACTGTAGGGTATCCCTAATATAACTTACTGCTGTCAACACAAGACCAGACTCACACTCCCTTGGACTGAATATCCCTTCACAGATGGCCATCTCCCCCGTACTCTCTGTGTCCTCCATAGGGTCATACACCTTCTTCAGCTCCACAAAACATCTTGTTCTTTACATAAAACTTTCTTCACCAGGGTAAAACCTCCATTCATGGAGGAAAAAATCCCACTAGTGTGCAGTAGTGTTGATTTGTCTAATCCCATCCATCACCAAACAGGAACAATGTGTCTGAGTTGCTTAATTTCTGTTAAATGCTCTAAATCGGTCAATAAAGCTGCATTTCTTCAAATTCTGCTGCACAAACTAGAGAAGAACTAATAAAGCAAAACATCAGATGTTTATTAATTATAGTTGATTTAGTCACTTTCACGTATTTTCATTATTTTTTTCTACAATGAAAGAGACTGCATCACACTCAAACATGCTAGTTACAGAGCATCAATGCAAGTGATCTCAAACAGGAGACAAACTCTCCTGATCTTCATCTTCAGGTGATAAAGCTTTAGCCTAGTCTTGTTGTGTACACGGTCATCAGCAGGAAGGTGGTTCACTAAAGCAGCAGACACAGGTTAGACAGATGACACGTTTCTGCAGCTCGACCAATGTCCAATCAAGTTAGATCAACTAAGCTGAGACGACTTGCTAGATAAATGTACAAACACTTAATTAAACTTTAAAATTCTGAGAAATTGTAAACCAATCAAACTTTCTTCAGGTGCAAAGGTACTGTTCGATATTAAAGGTGTGGTTCACTTGTTTAATTAATTAATTTGCAGTGGTCTCTAGTAGGAATGAATGCCTTGTAAGTCGTACTCTGGGTATAAACATTCCTGGTGCGCATGTTTCAGGATCTAGAAGATTGCCAGATGTGGGTACAGCTTCAGACGACAGGATTTGGACTCTTTTTTTTCTGATATTTGGATATCTCACCTCTGATTGGATAACAGCAATGCAACTCTACCACTAACTGTTTATTTTGCAACGTTGGTATTTTATCTCCATAAATACCACAAGCCTGGAGGAGTTCTGCTGTGTGGTGGAGTTGCTAATGCTAACAGTTAGTTTCTACTAGTCAAGATGTTCTCTGCTGATTCCTGGACATTAAACCAACAACAGTCTTTTCCGTTACGAGTCAAGATGTCCATGAACGTTATTGCTTTTTAACAACATCTGTTTGATTTTTGTCAACACGTATGAGCAAAGTGAAAACCTCTCATTATTCATAATAGATTTAATACATTTATGTCAAATTATTACCAAAGCTACTATTTTAATGTTTTCCTCCATTTTATCTGCAATCAAAATAATCATGTTTGTAGAAAAAGTCAATAGATTTTGTTTTATTTTTTGTTTATTCTTTTACTGAACTACATCACAATATCAGACCAGCTCAGCTGCAAAACGACTATTTCAGTCATGCAAACTGGAGCAGATAAGAAAATCAGTCTGGATTACAACTATAGCTGCAATAATGATCGCTGGTCAATAGGATTAATAGTTACCAAGTTATTTGTAATGTGAAATGACAAAAATCACAAGGTGCTTCATATTAACTCAGCATAAAAACACAAACATAAAAACTTGTTTACTGCCATGAAATATTAAAAATAATAAATATTTCAAAAGACCAGTATTAATATTAATGTAAATAGCATGTAATAATAATTGTGTTCTTTAAGCCCCATACTTTTAGAATTATTTTTTGTTTACTTGTTTTTTCTTCCTTTCCTATAGTGCACATTTTATTAAGATTTAGAGACTGAATTAGGCTCTACCAAATGGTTGACCTTTAACCTAATTGGTTACAATAAAGGTGATAAAGTATGCTAAATTGCAATCGAACAAATTAAGAATAAGAGATTACGGTAAAGAGGTGAA